CGTCCACTCTAAGTAACAGTATGTAAGCGACTGTAGCATGTTATTGCACCGTACGCTGCAGCCCATTTTTCCAAACTCATTTCCCCCTGCAAGTGCCCGTAGATGTCTGGCCAAAGCAATGTCCAACATGTTCGTGTGGGTAGTGGTCAGCACGGAGGCTGTGAGCCTGCTGAGGGCCGCCCACAACAAGAACACCACGAGCATCATGCGATCGATCTGCCCCGGCGCGTCCGCTGACCAGACTCTTTCACGCTGCCTCCAGGCAGTCGTCATAGCGAGGCGCGTCTAGACATTCACCTGCGATGCTTTGTCCTGCTGGTAAGTTGGAGCCTACTGCCCTTATTTCTCGAAGGACGGTGCCTTGCAGCATTTGGCTTCTCCTTAGATGTCGGGTGGCGCCGTAGCGGCCCGTTCCCGCTATGTGTAATCGACGGTTGGTCTTGCAATGCTTGAGCCCCCATCCTTCGTTGGCCACCGCGTTGAATAGTCGCGCGGTGGTAGCGTTGACTTGTGCCTCGATTTCGTGCGCTGAAGCTTCGGCTGGTATGTCTTGCGGTCTCGTGACGCGCCTGCGACTGGTTGCAATAGGTCCGCACGTTTTTGACTCCCCCATTTCACGACGTACAAGCTGCAGGCGTCGTTGAATTGCCATGGGCAGAGTGCAGACTTCATCTGCGCTCCACTGGTGCTTTCTGCCCCCAGCGTGCCGCCAGGAATTTCCATGTGAATGTGAGGCGGTCGACCGCTGCCACGGCGAGTCGCTGATCTCTCGGGTCCGCTTGCTTGAACTCAACTGCTCTCAATCATGCCCTGTTCGTGGCTGCAAATGCGTTGGCGCCGTCGTACTCGGTGGTGATGCGAAATGCCCCTCCATGCACTGCCCTCCACTGGGCGCGTTGTACACATCGTATCGTATTTTCCCTGCGTGCGTGGGAGAGTCCGCCATTGTGCCCATGGAGGGCGGTTGGTTCTCCTACATCGGTGGTGGATGCCTGAATGCCAAGCCGCGCTGAACGAGTCGTTAACGTGCAGGATGTGCTTGAAGAGGGTTCCTTGTTCGCCGTTGTTTTTCTCAGCTGGGAAGGCCTGGGCGCGGTGCCTATCTATGGGGGGGAACTTGTGAACTGCGGCAGTGGGTGAGGAGCTGGTGGGATTGCGCTGGTACGTGTAGCCCGTTCCTGAGAGCGGCTGTGTGCCCAGTTCTGCGTAGGAGCCCCTCGCCACTTCGTGCGGTCGTAGGTCCGTCGGTGCTCCCTTCGTCCCGTTGGCGCTCCGTGGGCCAATTCCTCCGCGTCCTCTCAAGCCTCAGCCTCGGCGGCCCTCCTCGTCTTTCGCTGGCCTCGTTAGGGTCGTGCAAAATTTATCGTGGGATCTCGCATCAACCGCATCATCTTCGTAGAGAGACCCGCGGTGGCCACGCTCTTCTGCTGCATGCCTTCCGGCCGTACCTGCGCTTAGCCTTTCTATCGTCCTCTATTTATCCCAGGATCTCCCCAGCAATCGGTAGTGGGTCAATATTCTCCTGAACGTAACTGGTGTGTTCCTCCAAATTCTATCCGATCTACCTGCAACGCTGCAAGACCCCCAGATCGTATGTCCAATAGTCCGTTGGCCAGTGTGTCTTCGGGGTCATGTAATAACATTTGTTTGCCCTCCTTTCAGTTTCTTCAGTCGGAGATCCGTCGTCAGTGCATTTCAAAGACGTTGCGCCCTTCGCATGCCTCCCAAGTGAGCTCGATTATCTTTGCATTCTGTCTTTTCCGAGGTTGCCTCGCGCCTGCTTGAGAACGCCTGAGATTTCTTGCTGTTCGGTCTGTGCTGTCTCGTACTCAATCGGGCCGGTGTCGGGCTGTGACTTGTGTCGGAGCGCTCGCCTCTGTCGCAATAGTTCCGGTCGTCGTGTCTTTCCTTGCTCCAATACGTCTACCTTTCCTTGCTTCTTGTCTTCTCTGCGACAAGTTGCGCCGAAACGACACTGCCACTTTCACGCGCAAGTTGTGCGGCGTTCGGGCGAGGACAGCAATTCGCCCGCTCTGGGGATCGAGAGGGGAGGGATGGAGAGAAGAGGAGAGTAAGAAGGGAGGGAGGAGAAGGGATGGATTGAGGCAGGGTAGGCGGATATGATGAGGATGGTGATGCTGCTGATAAGGATGCTAATAACAATGCCAATATCAAACATAATGGCAATAACAATACAACCCAGAATAGTGATGCTGCTGATGATGATGGTGGTGGTCATGGTGATGGCGATGCTGCTGCTGATAATGCTGCTGCTGATGATGAGGAGCGACGGCGATGACATTGATGACGACGACGACGACGACGACGACGACGACGACGATAAGTTGACCCCGTTGGCGCTGCCGCTTTCATGTGATCTGGCGAGCGAAACGTGCGCCGCGCCCAGGCGGGAATGCCACTCCCAGGCGAAACCTGTACGCAGCTCTGGCGAGGGCGACCCTTCACCCGCCTGCGGACGGCCCCGCCTTCCAAGAACTTGGCAAATCACACATACAGGGGGGACAGCGAATTTCAGGCAAACTCTGCGTGGCGCCAGGGCGAAACCGATACGTTTGTCCGCGCGCGAGTCGACGAATCAAGTGCAACGTGTATACCTCGCCGAAGCGGAAAATCAATTCTCGAGGCCGCCCCAACGGTCACTCCTCTGAGCCACCAGGGGAAGGGAATGAGAGGGAGGAAGGGAGGGATGGTCTAACGAATGAGGAGGAGGATGAGGAAGATGAAGAGGAAGAGGAGGAGGAAGAGGAGGAGGAGGATGAGGAGGAGGACGAGGAGGAGGAGGAGGAGAAGGAGGGGGAGGAGCGGGCGAGGGATCCTGCACCATCTGCAGCAGACTCATGGCCGTGAACGCCTGCGCTGGCGTCAGAGGCGATCCTGAGGACACTGCTAAATCGTCTGGATTCTGGAGATGTGCGTTCTCAAAGCACTCCCTCACGGGAGCCAGAGGTGGGGTTTGGATCAGGGGGGACATCGCCCTGGAATCGACGATGCGTCGCCGACAAACCCCAAAACCGCACGTTCCCGGGCAGAGCGGGTCATTCAAGCCCTGCTCGGTGAGGCATGTGCGATTCCAGGTCGATGTCCTTCCGTGAGTCAATGCCCCTCCCTTCGGCGCCCCTGACTGCCACGTCCTCCATCCACCATCCACGCCTCCACCCCTCATCCTCCCCTCCATCCCCCCCCTGTCTGACCATCTCCCACCCTCTACACAAGTAGGAAATATGAGTACACAGCACCCTGCAGTCGCGGACAAGAGTGAGGGGACGGCAGGGACGTCTGCAGTCTGCGAGGCTCTGAAGAAGCCCGCCGCAGGCGCCTAATTTTCACAAACTATACAACGAGCCGGCCGCAGGCGTTAATTTTTTGTTAAAACAATGAGGGTGGGTCGTGGGGTGGGTCGCGGGTGGGTCGCGGGTGGGTCGCGGGTGGGTCGTGGGTGGGTCGCGGGCCGGGTGGCGGGCCGGGTCGCGGGCGGGTCGCGGGGGGTCGCAGGTGGGTCGCGGGTGGGTCGCGGGTGTGTCGCGGTTGGGTCGCGGGGTGGGTCGTGGGTGGGTCGCGGGCAGGGTCGCGTGAGGGTCGCGGGTGTGTCGCGGGTGGGTCGCGGGCCGGGTCGCGGGACGGTTCGCGAGCGGGTCGCGGGTGGGTCGAGGGCCGGGTCGCGGGTGGGTCGCGGGCCGGTCGCGGGGGTGGGTCGAGGGTGGGTCGCGGGTGTGTCGCGGGTGGGTACCGGGAAGTCGCGGGCCATGTCGCGGGTGGGTCGCGGGTGGGTCGCGGGTTGGGTCGCGAGTGTGTCGCGGGCCGGGTCGCGTGGGGGACGTCGCCAAACAACAACAACAACAAACAACAGCATGAACCCGCATCGCGGAATCCCAATTCAGCCACACACCCAGGGACAGTAAGGGACCGTTCGGCCCCCTCACTCTGACGACTCTCTCTCCTGCCCTGAAGCTGTCCCGAAGATCCCCCGCCCTCTCCGCGTGCTGTTTTCGTTTTCTCTTACACAGCATTTGAGCATTTGTTTTGATTGTGCTTTTTATTATCCGATTTCTTCGGTGTTTCAAAATGGTGCTCCTGCTTCAGCGTGGGCATTATTTTCGGATCGGCGCTTGCTCCCGTCATTCAGACTGGTACTTTCGCCCCAACGCGGCCCAACGCGGGCCACTTTTCTGAATCTGAGTCTTACGTCATTGTGGTCTCCCCCAGATTCCCTATCCTCCGCATTCCTCTGGTCCTCCTATTCCTCCCGCTCATTCTACTCTGGTTCTTGCTGCTGCTGCTGCTGAGCGTCTCGCCCCAGCGCGGGCCACTTTTCGGAATCCGAGTCTTTCTTCACGGTTGTCACCCTCCGTATGTCCCCTCCTCCGCCCTCCCCTGGTCTTCCTTTTCCTCCCGACCCTTCCGTGTTAGTTCTTGCTGCTGCCGATCGTCCTCATCGTTTTTCATCCCGCCCATCCCCCTGCTTACCCGCCACCTCCTCCCCCTTCTCCTCCTCCTCCTCCTCCTGTACACGCAACTCCCTTTTTCCGGTTGCGCGCACCACGAAGTCGTGTTTCCGTTGGAGTGACAGGTCGGCTACGACACGCGTCAGCGGATGATGGAACGTGGGAACAGATGGGAAGGAGAGACAGGGTGTCAGACGAGGCGCGGGCGCATCGCTCGCCCCCACTCCCCTCGATCTCTCCCTCCCCTCACCTCCCTTCCATAATTCCTCCCTCCGAACTCCCCTTCGCTCCCCCCCGCTCTCTCCTCCTCCTTCGTGCTCCTGTCAGCCTCCCCTCCCATGACGGTTCTCATCGACTGAGCCTCACTGGCGACCCTTGCGCGCGCTCCCGAGAACCCACTGGCGAGGCCTCCAACTACTACTATTCCGCCGGAATAAGGCGGGGGAGGAGGTAGAGGAGGGAGGAAGAATAGGAGGCAAAGGGGGTAAGGAGGTAGAGGAGGGAGGAGGTAAGGAGTTAGAGGAGGGAGGAGGTAGAGGAGTCAGGAAAAATGCATACGTTCTAAACGTCACCCGCGCGGAGCAACTCCGAGCGGGCGTGGCCAGCACGAACACCACGAAGACCTTGAGGAAGACCCACGACACCTTGCGGCACAAATGCTGCACCATGCCCTCGTCTGAGGAAACCAAAAGGTACCGATACTGCTGCTCTCCGGACCTCTCCAGGGGTGCGTTCTGACCAGGACTTCGAGGCGAATCCAGCAGTGGCGACGAGGGCCGCCCAGGAGGCCCTCAAAGGGGAACACCAGGGAAAAGTAGCGGAATGGGTAGCTTTTCCTCCTCCGATCGTCAACGCCATGCGCGAATGAATATACAGCGAAACCCATCTCGCCGGTGGCGGCGGCGGCCCTTCTTGGGTCTCTGGAGGCCTCCCGAGGCCTCCCCAGGCCCTGCGGAACTTCCAAAAGCCGCTGAGGCCTCCGGGGACCTCTGGGGATCTCCAGGGGACCTCGCTGCAGGCACGATTTTCTGCATTCAGAGCGCAAACAGAAGCCTTCACTGAAGGCAGCAACGTTTTGCTGAAAGCAAAAACTGTTGCCTTCATATGTTGTTGCAGTTGATGAGTTCGTTGCCGCCATCCCGTTGCAAGCCTGCCGTCGCAGACGTCTGGCTGAGGAGCGCTACGGCGGGAGCGCGAAACGTCCCTTGCATCAGAAGAATGACGCAACTCTCCATCTAATCATCCAGACAACTCCGCGGACGTTGCCGTGGTCATCGCCGTCGTCCTCAGGAGACGGTTCTCTCCGCGAGGGTCCCTTCTGTGCACACTATCCCCCTGCCAGGGCTTCGTCGGTACTGGGCAGTTTTTAACACATAGGATTTTTTAAACTATAGGATTCTAATATATGATTAATGTATGAACAACTTGATGCATGAACTCGTCGTTGTTTTTGATACTAGATCCCTGCATTTTTGATACATGATCTGCACGCGGAGCATGCATCAAAAACGGCACTGTGCACTCTGTTCCCCAGGAGGAGGGACAGCGCCTGGTAAGCGGGCCTGCGGCGCCACGTCGCACGCTGTCTTTCCAACGCCAACCATACGGGACAGCGGCCTCCGGGGACCAGTGGGGACCTCCGGGGGACCTCCAAAGAACTCCGCGGACGCTGCCGTGGTCATCGCCGCCGTCCTCAGCGTCGTCACCGTCACAGTCCCCGCCGCCGCCGCGGCCGCCACAATGAGGACAAGGAGGAGGGGGAGGAGGAAGAGGAGGGGCAAAGGGAGGGGGAGGAGGGGGAGGAGGAGGAGGCGGGGGAAAGGGACGAGGAGGAGGAGGAGGAGGAGGAGGAGGAGGGCCCACCGAGCAACGGCGCGCTCCTGGGTTCAGGAGCGAGTATGCGGCGAACATCACCGCGGTGGTGACGGGGACGATGCTGCTCCAGAGGCCCTCCATCACGGTGTAGAGGCAATACAGCCGCCACATCGCGAGTAGCTCCGCCTTGCGGGCCGCCTCGACGCGGCTCGTGGCGGGCTCCTCCCAGGCGTAGCACTTGACCACCTGGCGGGGGGCCCCCAAGCAGGTGCGCCTTCCCCACCCTACTCCTAGGTCGGGTATGTCCCCCGTACAGGCAGATTTTTGATGAAAAAACAGCATTTTTGGTTAATTTATTAAAAAAACCAAAAACAAAAAAACTCAAACATCGCCTCCACATTTCTTTGCTGTTGCTACTTTTGGCCATTCCTCCTGTAGAGGGACAGGCCCGACTTGACCCTGCTGGCCGCCCCCGCCCCTGGCGCAGGCGAGGGGGCTGGGGGAGGGCAGGATGTGGAAGGAGGGGGGCGTTTAAAACGGGCGCGATGTCGATGTCCCCGGATCTCGACCCCTTCCTCTCGGGGGGTGCTTGTTTCGTCACGGCGCGCCTTTTTAGAGGGCAGAAAATCCACCCCCATAAGAACCACCCCGACACGCTTTTTCTCGAGCGTCCCAACCTGCGCGGCGGGAAGTGGCGATCAAACTACCCCAATCCGGAACCAGAAAGTGAAACAAGAAGGATGCAGCTGGGACTCAGGGGTCCATAACCACCCCGACACGCGAAGCCGTTCACGAAACGCTCCCCTTGAAGGAATCGAGCAGGGCAGGGCTGTTTAGCAAACGCCCAAGGCCGTGTGGTAAGCGCCAACTGTCCGGTCCTGTTGGTTTCTCCTCCCTTGACTCTTGGCGCTTCCACAGCTCCACTGCGGCCCCCGTTCCCGCACTCGCGGAGGGCCGCTGGGATCGAGCAGATCACAGCCTGGGAGACCTGGGGGGAAGCTGGCCATCGCTCGGACGTCCATTCCCCGTGCTTTTTCGACTTCGTGCGTGGTTTTTCGCCCAATGATCAAGGATGCTCCTCGATGGTCCTCGTCGAAGGAAAAATGCACACGTCCGAGCGATGCCAAGGGGAAGGGGAGGGGAGGGCAGGCGAGGGGTGGGGGATGGAGGAGTGGGTGGAGGGGGAGGGCGTAGGTACACACAAGTTCTGCCGCCCCCAGCCTGGATGGCCGAGATGACCTCGGTGGCCTTCCGCACGCGCTCGTCGGTCATGGACTGCTGCCTGTCCTCGAGCTTGTTCGCGACGTACATGATCGCGGGATTCAGCAGGATGACAACCTGGAGGGCGGCAGTACAGCGCAGAACTAACAACTTCTGGAGGTCTGCGCGAACTTCCCGGGTCGGCGCTGCACTCCCCCTCTCCCTGCGCCTCTGGCGGCACCTGCGGCGCCGCCGCTGGCGAGCCCCTCGCGCAAGCACAGGATATGGGCAAGGCGGTCCAACGCCGACCCAAAAGATCTGGGGGACAAAACGGTACCGACACCGCTACTCCAGACCTCTCCCGGGGAGCGTTCTGACCGACATGTCGAGGATCATCCAGCCGTAGTGGCGAGGGGTCTCCAGAACGAGCAGCGGTATCGGGATCTCTTCCTCATCAGAAGATCCGCGCGGACCTCCAACACGCTATGTGCTCGTGCCGCATTGCGGTCCTCTACAACCCCCATCCATCCGAAACTGATGAAGACGGACACGCCCACCAGCTTGTAGAGCGCGACTATGGATATCGCGATACGCGCAGGCGCGGTCAAGAGCAGTATGTGGATGAAGCGCACCACGCGGCGCGCCTTGTCCACATCCGTCGTGATCATGTTGTTGAGCCTACCTGTGGAGAAACTCGTCAGGGAATCCTCTGGAGCGGAGTGAGCGGATCCTGAGGACGGACCCTCGACCCACATCCGATGCTCATCCCGGGCCGCTCTCTGACAGTGCCGGAGCCCGGCGAGGGCCCCAGGGGCCGGGGGCCCCGAAACGGCCGAGGACCTCGGAAGCCGACTCCCTCCCCAGAGATCCGACGCTCCTTCAAAATTGGAGCGGGCGGTTTTTGATCGTTTTCGGCCTCAGGGGGCCCTCGCCGGGCCTCGGGAGCGTCAAGAAACGACTCAGGGCGAAAAAAGGGGCCCTAGGGAAGTGGCCCAGACCTCTGGGGCCCTCGAAAAAATGGGGGCAGCCGGATGTCTGGGTCAGTAAGACGAAGCCAGGACGAAGATAACATCGGGTGAGGATACATCGAGAATCTCTGAGATCCGGAGGCTCCGGAAGATGTCTCGGGCGCCACGGCCTTCTCAGAGCGTTCCGGAGGGCTCTCTCTGAGAGCTTTCTGGAACGCTCTGGAACGGATCTGCTCTCGTCCTCGCCCCGCCCGCCTCAGGACCCACTCGCTTCATGGCGACTCCTGGCGCAGGAGCAGGACCTTGCGGAAGATGGCCGTGGTCAGCGAGGAGCGGATCCTGAGGCCGACCGTCTGCATGCCGATGCTCACGTTCTGGTCGAGGGCCACCGAGAGCGCCTGGGCCCCGAGGAGGCCGGCCGCCATGCCGAGGCCCTGCCACACGGTCGCGTCCGGATCCTCCACGAAGTGGACGAGGTGGTAGAGGAGGATCGGCGGCGAGCGAGGGGGGGAGGGGAGAAGGAGAAGACCCCCTCTCGAAGGCGGCGGGACTTCGCAGAAGCCCTCGCGCCTCCTGAGAGGTTTCCTGCGTCTGCGGGGAAAGGCCCAGAGCTCCTCTCGGCTTGCCAGGGGGCTTCCGAGACTTTTGAGAAGGCCTTCTCCTTCTCACCTCCACCCACCGCCCGCCGCCGAGAGGAGCGGGAAGGAAAAGTCGAGGAGGACCTGCACGATGCGCCCGAGCCACAGCAGCCGCATGTGCGGCAGGTGCACTCGCAGGAGCGTCTTCAGCAGGGATCGCCCCTCCCTGGCGCGCCTGCCACGCGAGTGGGCCAGCTGTCGAAGCCATGCCGCAAAAAAGGTATTGAAGACGGCCTCTGGCTTGTCGGTTTCCCGTACGTGGAACAGGTCGTCAGGGGATAGCTGCTCCGTGCCAGCACAGCGCTGCAGCAAGGGGAAGACCCAGGTAAAGAATATTCGAGCGAAACATCTGCCTTGAAGTGGCTGCTCACCGAGTGTGTCTATGAGGCTCGATGACGCCGAGCTGGACGAGTGTGTCGCATCCCCCCTCTCTTGACCGCTGCCCTGGGGCAAGATTGGAGTACCCAGTTCACGGGCCGACGCCGTAGCCATCATCACTCGCGCAACAGCGCGCTTGAATGTTGCAGCACCACCACTTGAACCAACATGCCTCTTTTGACGCTCGGGTTACACGACGCCCGCTACGGCCTCTTCCGCAGACAGGAGGAGACCACGGACGTCCACGCCTCCCCAGACCGATGGGTGTGCGGTGTGCGTGTGCGTATGCGTGTGCGTGTGCGTGTGCGTGTGCATGTGTGTGTGTGTGTGTGCGTGTGTGTGTGTGTCTGTAGCTTTCGCAAGATGCCTCAAAACGCTCCTTCGATGGCCCCCTTGAGAAAAAATGAACACGCCCGAGCGATGCCAAGAATATGGCCCCCCAAGGGCCGAGAACAGCGAAAAACCTTCCGCCGTGTTTGTGCCTTCATGCCTTCGTGACGTCCTCTTCCTCCTCCTCCTCCTCCTCTTCCTCCTCCTCCTCCTCGTCCTCCTCCTCCTCCTCCTCCCCCTCCTCCTCCTCCTCCTCCTCCTCCTCCTCCTCCTCGGGGCTCTTCCCTCGGTTTCGGGCCCCTGGGGGGGGGGGGGGGGGGGCGGGGCCATCGGCACGCCGACGGTGGCAGGGGCCGCCGCGGCGCCGGCGTGGGTTCCACAAACAATGTTGCGGTCGGAGGGCGCCTCCCCCGCGCGGTCGCGAGGCTCCACGCCAAGGAGGGCAGCCAAAGGCAGCCAGAGGAGGCCGCCGTCGCTCGGCTTCGCGCGCCTCGCACGAGGATCCGAGATGCTCCTCGTCGGCCCCCGCCGCGGAGGAGCGCCCACGCCCCAGCGATGCCGAAGGGGGGGTGCCCCCGGGGGGGGGGGGTAGCTGCCCTCTCGGAAGTCCGCGCGGCCTCCTCGGGCCGGCGCGGGGTCCTCTCGGCCGAGCTGCTGCACGGCAGGGGCGGTGCGGGAGCGGCGGAGAGAGAGAGGGGCCTCGCGCGAGAGGGCTCAGCGACCGGGCGCGGCGGCCCGCACGGGCCGCCGCTGCGGCGCGCCGCGTGGGAGGCGAGGGCGCGCTGCGCGCGACCTCGCGCGGGCAGCCTGCGCGCCGGCGTCGGTGAAGGCGGCCCCGTGCTTCTGCGCCGCTCGAGCGAGGAGCGAAGAAGCCCCCCGTTTGGCCCCCCCCCGACCAGAGAACAGGAGTGCAGGAGGGCCAGAGGCGCAACCGCGGCAGTGCCCGAGGACCGGCGGGCCCCTTTCCGAACCTGAGCTGCTTCGGCTGTCAGCGTCTTGGCTGGATCCCCGCGCGCCCAGCGGCGCCCCTGGAGCGCTTCTCGCGCTGGGGAGGGGTGCTCCCTCCTCCTCCCTCCTCCTCCCTCCTCCTTCCTCCCTCCTGCTCCTCCGCCTCCTCCTGCTCCCTCCTGCTCCCTTCCTCCATCCCTTCCTTCCCTCCTCCTCCTCAACTCCTGCGTTGGGGTGACGACAAGCAGCAACATGCCGATGCGCTACTCCATGGACCTCTCCGCGGGTGCGTTCTGACCCGGGTTTCGAGGCGAATCTGGCGGTGGCGACGAGGGCGGGGTACGGTATCGGTGTCCCTTGCTCTTCTGAGGCCCAGTGCCGACCCAGGACGTCCGCCACCGCGCCTTCGGCGCGCAGTGGAGCGCCCCAAGGCTCGCACAGATGCGAGCGTTGGAACAGCCAGCCGACTTGCCAGAGCTCCTGGGCGCTCGTGAGCGCTCCTGGCGCGTGCCGCGTGGGCCTCTGGGGGCCAAACCCGCCCGAACCGGTTCCAACACCTCACCTCTGAACCAATCGAAACGAATCCAACCGCCCAAATCGAAACGATCGCAACGGATCGACTCGAGAAGTCGGCCGCCCAAGCTTACCACGAAAAGCTAAAAAAGGTCCTCCTCCTCCTCCTCCTCCTCCTCCTCCTCCTCCTCCTCCTCCTCCTCCCCCTCCTCCTCCTCTTCCTCCTCCTCCCCCTCCCCCTCCTCCTCCTCCTCCTCTTCCTCCTCCTGCTCCTGCTGCTCCTCCTCCTCCTCGGTGGCCCCAGGGGACAGTCGCGGGGCACTCTCGGGGGGGGCGTCCTGCCGCGTCTCGGGAGCCCTGGGTGCCTGCCCCAGAAGCTATTGAAGAAGCACAGGGGCGACGATCAAAAAAGGGTCTTGTGGAGGGCAGAAAATCCACCTCGATAATGACCACCCCGACACGCGAAGCCGTTCAGTAAACACACCCAAAGAAGGAATCACACAAGGCAAAGCTGTTTAGTAAACGCCCGAGGCCATTTAGCAAACGCCAATTGTCCGGTCTGGGTGGTTCTTCCTCCGTTGATCTTGCGCGAGATGGCATAGCGACCTTACGCCGTGGCTTACGCGGGCCGCCAGCGCGGCGCGCCACAACGGAGACGAAGGCGCTCACGCGCGATCTTTCGCGGGCAACTTGCTCGCCAATGTCTGTGAAGACGAAACGGTGTTCTGGATCAGACAACAAACGACACCACCCCACCTACGGCCCCACGGGGCTTAGCGTACACCAATACATCTGGCGTGGGCTTTTGCGTGGTATACGCTACGGCCCTCGGTAGGCAGTAGCTCAACATGGAGGGCCATGGGTTGGGTGATGTCTTTTGTTTTTTGGTCGATTTGTTTGGCTTCGCTCGCATGGTTTGCGTGTGATATCCGCACGCTCGGCGTTCTGGTCTTCAGAGTGCCAAACACGACTCCAAGACCCGCCCAGGAGGGCCCCCGAGGCCCCTCGGAGAGGCCCAGGAGGCCCCCAAAGAGGCCCCCCGAGCGGGGCACAACAGGGGCTCGAAGTGCCACAGTCGGTCTGCTGAAATTTCGGCGGTGGGCAAACCTCCCTTTAGTAAACCTTCCCTTAACGAAAACGGCCTGGGACCGAAGCCGACGGGCCTGGACCCGCAAAGATGACGGCCGCGACGCCCTCTCGCGAACCGAAAACGGCCAATCCCTTAATCGACGTGTCAGGGTAGGAGGTCTGCCAACCTCCGAAAATTGAGGAACGCTGCATGAAGAACGAAGCCCAAATGAACGTTCATTGAAGGTGCGCTGAAATTGACGGAAGGATGAAGGAATGAAGGAACGTCCATTGAACGTTCAATTGAACGTCCATTGAAGGCCAAGGTTGAAGGAACGCTGAAATTGAAGGTGCGTGATTGAATGAATTGAGGAACGCCTCGTGAACGAAGCCCCTTTCGAGGCCCCAGAACCGCCTTCGTTCAGCCACGGAGGGACCCGAGGAACCTCGGGCCCCTTCCGGGCCCAAACTGCTCCTCGTTTCGGGGAACGAAGAATGGGAGGGGAGTCATCATCATCATGCTCATGCTCATGCTCATGCTCATGCTCATCATCATCATCATCACCACCACCACCACCATCATCATCATCATCAGCATCATCATCATCGTCGTCATCATCGTCATCATCGTCATCATCGTCATCATCGTCATCATCATCATCACCATCACCACCATCACCATCACCATCACCATCATCATCATCATCATCATCATCATCATCATCATCATCATCATCATCATCATCATCATCATCATCATCATCATCACCATCACCATCATCATCAGCATTTCGGCACACCCCTCACGCAGTTCGTGGCCACATAGGGAGCTCCACCGAAGGCCCCACTGGCTGCGTTCGCAAGCGTCACCGCCACCCATTACGGCACACCCCTCACACGGTTCGTGACCCCAGCGCGGATCCGAAAAATCCGTGCGGACCTCCGAGTTGTTCTGTTTATGCCATTCTTCGTTCCCCTATCGTTTCGGTGTCTCTGACTGCAGCCTGATGGCACGTCGCCGCCTCCAGCAGCGATTGCGCCTGGCCTACGCTGCCGATGTAGGAGGATCCAGCGGCTCCCTCTCCCCTCAGTCCTTCGATTCCTACCATCCCTAGGAGGAGGACGGGGAGAAGGATGGATAAGAGGTGGAGGAGGAGGAGGAGGAGGACGAGGACGAGGAGGAGGAGGAGGAGGAGGAGGAGGAGGAGGAGGAGGAGGAGCTCTCCGCCCAAGGATGGACCCCGACATGGCCAACGCGGCCTTAAGATGCCTGCGGGACCCTTCTCGGAGGCTCCCCCGAGAGGCCCTCAGGCCGCTGCAGGGGACCCCAAGGAGGCCCCCAGGAGGCATCTGCGAGGCCCCTTGATCATCATCATTCGCTCTCTTGTTTGTCATCTTTCGTCCCTACGCTCGTCTTCGTCGTAGTGTCGTAGTGTTCTGCATGTCAATCTTCCCCTGGACCATGCTAATTCGTTCACTCTCGTGGTCGGTCGTTTGCTAGGTCGAGTGTCTGACTGTCGTCCTCGTCCCTTCGCTCGTCTTCGTCTTCTTTTTGTTACGCATGATCGCCTTCCTCTGGGCCCTGCTCGTGCGTTCACTCTCGTGTCCGGTCGTTCGCTGGGTCGAGTGTCTGACCACTTGCCTGCGCATGTTTGCTCGCCACTTAGTAGAAGTAGTTGATTGTGCACTTGCGTAGTGCCTACTTTGTATGGGTGTGGGTGTTATTTCTCACGTGTCTGCTGTTTAACTGTGCTATATGTGCACATATTCCGTGTGCAATGGCTGCCCATGGCGCCACTGCTGACTGCACGTGCCACGCCACCAATTGTAGCATTCATACTACCAATGCCACAAGCGCAACCGTTGCCGTTGCTGTCCCTTGGACTCGATGGAACGCACACATCTTCATCACATCAACAACCTTACGACTGTAAGCATGGCGATGCAGGGGGAAAGTTCGAGACCAGCTCACTGCATCACGTGGTCTTCTCCACATCGACGCATTACGTGCCCCCTGTTTGTTCGGACTCATGCTACCGCATTGCAGTGAAGGGCCTGCGCAGTCACGCAGCAGGACTCTACGAGAACTTATTAGCTTCTCCCCGCCACGACTGCTACCCTTCTCCCCGCCACGACTGCTACCCTTACCGCCCGCCGACCCTCTCTCCGCGCTGCATTGCTCTGACAAGTCCGCGCGGTGCGGGAACCAGAAGGACCTGGAGACATGCCACAGGCGCGCGAATCTAGACCCCTCGCAAGCGAAAGCGGTGCACAGTATGACGAGCAACTTTTGGGCCGAATCGTAGGCCCCCGAAAGTCACCCACTCACAGACTGTATTACCCGCAAGATCGGCAACAGGGGGTCCGGGCAGGCTGGGCCCAGTGATGTGTATGCATGCTGAGCGCTGGCCACGTCTGTCCAGCCCGAAGGCAGCTAAGGCCACTCCGTCAGATTGCGAGGCTGACCTTTATGATGAAAGTCGTGCGTGCAGACTCCTGGAGGCGATTATGAGGGAGGGCAAGCTGCGCTCTTCCGTGGTGATGTCTCAATCGGGCGCACGCTGACCTGGATAAACGGATCTGCTCTTCTGGCGCGCGGGCGCCAGATCCATGCGTCGGGGAAGGTACCCACCCGAAACGTGAAGCCAATGCCGCCCGACCTGGAGAGGGAACGCGCCGATTCCGTGCGAAAGCGCGGCCCGTCCCTAACCCACGCGCCGCAGTCCATGCTTGCGCTTCCCCGGCTCAAGCTCCAGAGCCCGCGCTAACAACGCCCCCATTACCTACAAACTTCGGATAACCGATCCAGAACATGGCCAGGAAGAGGCGCAGCCTGCCGAGCTCCTCCCACACGCACACCCTGTCCTCGCAAGCGCACGCGCCATCTCTCCAGATCAGCCAGGCCGGGGAGATCACCACACGGGGAACGCAGTGGGGCTTCAGAGCCACCCGGACCTCCGAAGAGCCCTCGGGCAGGGGTGCCCGAACTCCCTCCTGGGAGGCCCCTTCTCCTCTTCCTCCTCTAGCTCCTCCTCTTCCCCCTCCTCCTCCTCCTCCTCCTCCTCCTCCTCCTCCTCCTCCTCCTCCTCCTCCTCCTCCTCCTCCTCCTCCTCCCCCTCCCCCTCCCCCTCCCCTCTCCTCCTCCTCCTCCTCCTCTCCTCCTCCTCCTCCTCCTCCTCCTCCTCCTCCTCCTCCTCCTCCTCCTCCTCTCCTCCTCCTCCTCCTCCCCTCCACCTCCTCTTCCTCCTCTATCTCCTCCTCTTCCCCCTCCTCCTCCTCCAACTGCCATCTGGGCCCAGGAGATTGTCAGGGCAGCCAAGAACCTCACATAGACATTCCACAGCATGTGGAGGAAGAGCTGACTGGGCAGGCAGCAATGGCATGGACGGCGTCACAGGCGCTGCTGCTGTACAATCCGAAGACAGCACGAGAGGACCGTCTGAACGAGATTCTCGAGGAAGCGCAGAGCTTCGATCTAGTGAGCCTGGCAGGGACCAAGGGACATCGCAGCGGAGAACACTCAGAGCAGAGAAGACTCAGCGACACACGCTACATTGACGCAGGGCGGCAGAGCGGCGAGCTGACCAACAGAAGCACGGGAGCACTGATAGCACTGCAGGGACGACCTCGGGGCGCGCAAATGTTGGCCACACATATTCCGCCACCAGAGCTGAGTGGCAGAGGCCTCGTCATGGACAGAATCCACCACAACATCGAGATGACGACTATTGGGTATTACTTTCCACCGCAGCCGCGAACCAAAGAGGATAGGAATAAGTATTATGCGACAGTGGCAAGACTTTGCACATGGATGGACGAAAGAGCACGACAGCAGGAAGCCTTCTCTTCACGGCAGGCGACCTCAATGACGGCGTCGGCATCAGCACACAAGGAACTATCATCGAGACTGACGCGCTAGGTCGAGGACGATCCAAATAACGACTGACACAATTTACTGCTGGTCAGCACGACATCAACAACGGGCCAGAGGCGTGCTAAGATCTCCGGTAACTGGTAAACAGTATTTCTGGTTCGCGCGCGCGCGGGGCGGCCCCTGGGGGTCCCTGGATCAAAAGTGCCCCGGGAGGAGCCCGGGACACGCCCGAGACACGCCCGGGACACTCCCCCAGATCCTCCAGGATCGCCCCAAGAGGGCCCCTAAGAGGCCCCCAACACAATCCAAGAGAGGTCCGAGACGCCCGAAGATCGCTCCACGGCGCCCAAGATGGCCTCCAGACGGCCCAAGAGGTCTCCAAGATGACCCAACAAGCCTCCAAGATGCCCCAAGAGGCCCCCAGGAACACTCCCAAGAGGGCCTCAAGAGGCAAAAATCAAGGACGTCCCGAGATCTTTTCAAGGCGGGGACACAGATGAACGAACGGCTGCGCGTCCTGGCGCTCAGCTGTGAGGCACCGTCAACCACAGAGAGAAAAATGAGACAGAGCATGTGTGTGCACGCATGCTCGAGAGGGTTCGGGGGGGCGGGGGACCAGAGAAGCTATGCGATGCAAGAGAGAGCGGAGCCAAAGGGGCGACATAATGAAAACCCCTCTTGACTTCCTTCACGTGCAAGCACAAACCAGGACGTCCCGAGATCTTTTCAAGGCGGGGGCACAGATGAACGAACGGCTGCGCGTCCTGGCGCTCAGCTGTGAGGCACCGTCAACCCAAGCCGTTCCCAAGAATGTTTACTGGGTGGGTGGGCAAGGGCGATTATATAAAGACGCGCGCCATTCACTCAAAAGGACTTTAGCAAGCTTCCTATTGAGGGCTGGCGGATAGGCGGCAGCGATAGCGGTCCATTTCGCACCATTCGGGGCGTTGCCCTCAAGCACGATGTGTTGACGGCCAGACTTGTTACAAACTCCGTTGATCTGACAACACCGCCGATCGAGACAGCTGCTATCCTGGGCGTCTATGTTCAGACACAAAAATCTTGTTCGTTTGCGCCAGCGAGCACCCTCCTGACACTGATCGAGACATCTTACTACGGCCCCCCGTTCTATAACCCCCAGAACCTCTCTCGTGACGAAAATGCGTGAATTCACAGGATGCTCAAGTATGCAGGGGACTTTAAAATTTTCGCAACATCTGATGACGGACAGCGCGGCGCGCATGGTCTTATTGCCCGATGCCAGGCGAGCAAGCTGTTTTGTACTCAGAAGATGTCGCGGGAGTCCCCAGGGCTGCGATGCCGAGCGGATGGCCCCCACTCGGTCGGCAGCGGTGGTCCAGGGCCCACAAGGCGGTGCCAGCATCACGGCCAAGACGCGGCCTGCAGCGATGTCGGAGCACAAGCCTCGCAGGACCTTTCGTCGGGTAAGGTCGCCGCCTGGCCCGTGCAGCGTGTCCCAGAACCTGGCGGGTACGCCCATTGCCATTGCGGCGCGACCCACGCCTCCTTTGCCACTGAAGCAGTCGGCCACATATTGGCCAGTCAGGCGTGGTCGAGCTCCCGCAAGTCGACCGGCGAGGCGCGATCCAAAATGATGTCCGCGAGCTGAGCCCCGCAGACCAGGAACACATTTTGCTGCGCGCAGCTCCGAGTTGTCCACGTGGCTGCCAGGCGTGCGTGCTTCTCGTAGCGGACGACGCTGCGGTTGGCCTTCCACTGCCTGCGTTTTTGCACGTCGGCCAGCCGCCTCCACCTCCTCGCCATGTATACCGAGGCCCCTGAAAGGCGAATCTGATACGGCACCAACTTGGCTCTTACTGGCAGGTCCTGGAGGCGTAGGCTGAACATCTTGCAGTACTCTGGGCACGTGAAGTTCCACAGGTATTCGGGGTGTTTCTCCTTTTTCATTTGACGCAGCACAGGGTCCAAGAAGCGAATCCAGGGCGAGTCTAACTCTAGCGACACGTCCACCAGGCCCGCTTTCTCCCGCAGGCCTTCCTCCTCCGGGGGGAGCCTCAGGGTCCAGAAACTCCAGCCCTGGGGGAGGCGCCGGGCACCGTAGCTCGACATGTCGGGGTTGAAGTGCAGGACGCCAGCCATCAACTTCTCGGCCCAGGAGAGGTGAGTCCCAGCCTGGTGCAGCCCAGTCAGGTAGCTCACCAACGCCGAGGCTACCATGGAGTCGTCCCTGCTCTTTATGACTTCGCCAATGCTCACCGGGGGCCAGCTCCGACGGGCAAAGTCCCGCCATCCGTCCCAGGCCCTCTGGTACTCGCGCAGCGACGGGGTCCGCACGGCCCCCCGCTCCAGGTAAGAGAACCCCTCCTCGCCGGTGGTCATCCCGTAGTGGTGGGCAAGGCGCTCTTGCGACTGCGCGAGCCTGCGCTGCCGCGCGGCGCCGGTCGCGACCTCGGGCCCGGAGCTCCCGCTGTCGCAGGGGCCGACGCTCTCTCGCGCTCCCTGAGCGGGCTCCGCTGGCACAGGCACCTTCCCCAGGTCCTCCGCCATCTGCCCCGGGCTCCGCGGCAGGGGGCGGCTCAGCACCGCTGTCTTCAGGAGCTCCGACTCGCACAGCTGATGCTCCCGCCGAGCTGCCGGCGGCGGCTGCGGCGCTACTGGCGGCGCAGGGGCAAGCTGCCGCGTGCATCTCGCCTCCTGGCCGTGGGCTGACGGCCTCAGGCCAGGCCCCAGGCGAGACGGCGCCAGCTGCCGTGTGCGCCGGCGTCCCGTCCCTGGCCTCGCGCCTCGTCTGGCCTGCCGGGGGCCCCGACAGCGGCCCCGCCCGTCTGGCGCCCGCGGGCGCACAGGCAGCATCGCGGGCCGCGGCGCCACCGGCCGCCCGCTCAGGTGCGGACCAGGCGGGGGCCCGCCCTGGGCCCGCCTGGGAGCCCTCGAGCTCCAACAGCTCAGCCAGAAGGGTGGACTTTGCGCCGTCAGGATCAAATAGCCGTGAGGGAAGGTCGGCACAGTTGAGCTCACTGGGTATCCAACGAATCGAACAACGAATATTTCGGCTCAGACAGACAGCGTGAAATCGACGAATCTGGACCAACAAGTTGAAACACGAGCTCCTCCCTCGATTGAAGCTTAGCACGACCGACATATTGTCACAGAGCAGCAACTGACGTATGTGGGACCCAAAGACCGTGGTGGCGTTGCGATGTATGCTGCTGACCAGGGCTCGGGCCTCTAAGGTCAAGATGCCCTCAGGGTGCTGCCAGGCTCTCGCGAAGCAGGGCTCCCACAGACCTGCGCGGAGCCCCTGGGCGGGCACCTCCGGGAAGTCCCTCGCAACGTCCCACTGGCCCAGCTCCTCCTCCTCTTCAGGAAGGCCCTTGAGTATCCATTTTCCACTCTCGCTCATGCTGAAACCAGCTGCACAGAGCGCAGCCTCTCGAGCACTGTGCGCGCAGCGCCGGCGAAAGCGGGCTCGCTCAGGCACGCGCCCGACTGACTCCACCAGCTCCCGCGGCCAGAAAGCCCTTGCCAGTCCGTAGCCGTGAAGACTGGCATCTGACTGCTGCACCAACGGATTCCAAGGCAGCCACCAATCTGACTCCAGGAAGTACATCAGGGAGCTGAAGGCGGCCAGCTCTCGCCGCGCCTCGGCCCATAGCACGGCCGCCTCGTCGTAGTGGGCTCGCACAAAGCCGTAAACTGAATTGAAGGCCGACAAGGTGCCGCGCGAGCAGAGGCCACAGAAGGTTAGGTGGCCCAGCACTGCCTCCACGGCCCACCCCTTGACACGGCGGCGGGCTAGGAGGCCTCGCACGGCCTGGCGGCAGCGCCAGAACCGATCACTGGTCACACGAGTGCGCAACTGGCCCCCGTCGATCTACGTGCCCAGCGCTACTGCCTTGCCCGGCACCAGCTCGTCCTTGTGCAACAGTAGGTTCAGCTCGGTGAACTCGCCTGTCAGCTGGTTCATCACGCCGCTCACGAGCTCAGAGAATAGCGAGAAGACCCCCAAGTTGTCAACGTACACGTAGTGCCTGACCTCCTGGGGCGCCCTGCCAGGCGCGAGCACGAGCGGTGGCCCATGGTCTGAAAGACTGGGCCCCCAGAGGAGCGCGCTGCTGCGGCGACTCACCTCCTCGTTGGCCCGCTGGGCGAAGTAGAGGGACCAGCTGAAACCCATGGGCAGGACCTGCCAGCAAGGGTAGATGGCCGTCGACGTCTGCACCTTGGCCCCCTCGACTTCGGTCACGCCGAAAGCCCCCGCCTTGACCGGCGGCAGGCAGAAATATTGCGAGAGGGCCGAATCAATACGCATCCGATGAAAGCAGTCCTTCACGTCCGCCATGCCGATGTACACCTGCTGCGCCTCCAGCGCGGCGCGGAGGTCCTCGTAACTTGAGAAGCCCGTGTCTGGCATGTGCACCTCGATTCTGGCGAGGCCCTCGCTGCTCAAAAGCTCCACCCCAGGAGGATCCCTGAAGTGGGCGTTCGCACGGCGGGCGTCGACTATGAGGCGAAGTCGGCGCCGCCCATCCTTCCACACAAAGAACATCCCAATTCTCTCTTTCGGTGTTAGAGTCCACCCCAGAATGCCAGCCGACAGCAGCCGGCGCACCAGGCCGCGGTACTCCTTGTGGTTGAACTTGAGGACCGAGTCGAAGTATGGCTCGACGTCGGTCGGCAAGGGTGATTCTCGCAACATGCGCTCTTGGCGCTCCTGCAGGAAGGTAAGGGCCTCGCCAGGCAATATGTCCTCAAGACGCGGGCAGTCGCTCACGTCCGTCGGCATGCTGACGAGCCCTGCACTGTAGGAGGCGACCGTCGTCGGGCCGCTGCGCCCGTCATATGGCGAGCGGCCCCGCAGCAGCTCCCGGAGGGCCGCCTGCGGCTCCTGCAACTTGGCGTCCGGCTGCCGGCCCCGAACGAGGCCCTCGAAGCGCGCAAGTACATCCCGCTGCATGTCATTGGCTGGGCCATGAAGCGAGTTACCCCGACATCCAGTTAGCGGCATCGACGATGCCGTTGACCTCCAGCGCAATCCGATTTTCACGACCGAACTGCCTCGCTCTGCCAGACCTGCCGCGAATTCGGCGGCCAGCGTCGCCCAGCAGCGGGAGCGGCAGGAAGCTGCGGGCTCCACGCGAGGGCGGCAGGCGGCCACCGTCGTGCCCCGGCAAAAAGGGCCCGGGGGAGGGGCTGGCCCCCCCGGGCCCGGGGGCCGTCATGGCCCCGCGGAGGCGACGCCCCTGGCCCGGCCGCGCCCGCGGCCGCCTCGGCCGCCACCACGCCCCGCACCTGCTGCGTCGCCTCCAGCTCCTTCTGCTCCGCCGACGGTCCCTGTAGGCGCCCCGCGTAGCGTGCGCGCCCGACTCTGCGCCTGCTCCACCTCGTGCGGCTTCTTCGCCCGCCGGTGGATGTAGCCCCTGAGCTCTGGCCCCGAGACGTCCTTATCCGAGCTCGCGTCCGCGAAGATGCGCGCCTTCCTCCAGCTCGGCTTGGGCGGGTCTGCGTAGGCTTCCACCATGGCGGTCACGCGGCGAGTCATCTCCTCCACCATCATAAGGCCGCTCATGTTCAGCTGGTCACATAACAAACCCTGGTACAAGGCCTCCACGATCGTCCTCAGCTTGTGCACCACGCAGTCATTCTGCCCAAGGCCCCTCACGCGTATGGCGAGGTCGGCCCAGAGGCGCGGGTCGCCACCGTGCCTCCCCATGTACTTGCACTTGTGGAGAGCCCCAGGCGGTCCGCCCACCTGTGCGCCTGGGCGGCGCCCCTGCCTCGACTCGCCTACCACGTCCCACCATCGTCTGATCCGTCCGCCCTGCTCGTCGCAGACGCCCCCGAGCGTGCGGGCGAGGGCGTCGCGCTGCTCGCCCAGCGGCTCCGCCAGGGGCGGCGGCGCCAGCCCGGGCGTAGCCGTGCCGCCCAGGGGCTCGGCGGGCTCCTCATCCTCGAGTGGCGCCGCGGCCGCAGCGCGTCGGCGCCCGGGGCCCATGGCACGCGCCTGGCTCCTGCCTAGATCATGCCAGAATGCACTCTCTTCGGCCAGGCGCCCAGGGACCCACCCCGCGTCCAGCCGGCCGAATCGCCCCGTGCCACCGTCGGCGGCCCTCAGCACACCGAACGGCTCGGGCCCGTCCTCGAAGCTCAGGCCTTCGGTCTTCGTCACGCCGACCTCCGCCCCGATCGCGACGCCAGGCCCGCCGCTGCGGCCGACCCAAGCATGACCCACAGCAGGAGCCTCCAGCAGCGTCCCGCCCAGGAGAGCCACGGCCACGCCCAGGCGCAGCAGGCAGCCCCGCTCCGCGGCCAACAGCTTGCCAGCGGCCTCCTGCCGCGAGACCCGCTGGCCGCTCACGGCCCCGGCCTCCCTCGGCTCAGGCAACGCCGCCTCTACATCCAGCGCCGCCTGACGGCCCCGCGTCAACGCATCGGCCCGCTTCTCGGGCCCCAGCGCCTCCTCGACGCGATACAGCCTCCGCATCCTGCTCATCTGCAGCACCAGCAGGAAGGATCGGGCAGGCCCGGTCTCGGCGTTACCACATCTCATGTCCTCCGCGTAGATGCCACCCTCTGGGGACAGGATGACCCGTTCGCCCTCCGCCACGTAATGCAGCAGCACCCGCTCGTGGTCGACGTCGTCGTCGGCGATTCGGCAGACCCCGCGCTCCGCTGGGAGCGCTCTAGTCCACCACTCCCGCCCCACGACGCCGCGGAGCCACCCCACGAGCGCCGCCATGCCTGCGAGCGAACACCTTCCCCACCAGCCAGTGCACCAGGCCTCCGAGCAGCGCTCCAGCGAGCTTCTCAGCCGCCTTCTCGCCCGACGACGCCGCCGGGCACGCCTCCGCCTCACAGGCCGGGCAGGCCGCACACGGCGGCGGCTCGCAGGCCGGGCAAGCCGCGCAGGGAGGCGGCTCGCAAGCCGGGCAGGCCGCGGCCTCTGGGCAGGCCGCCGCTTCTGGACACGCAGGACAGGCGGGGCACGAGAGGTCAGGGCAGGCCGCCTGCGCCAGGCCCCACCCTGGCCGAAGGTAAGCCGCAGCCTCCAGCGCCAGCACCACCCAGGCCGGCAGCGCGGCCGCCCCACCAGGGATGGCGACCCCATCCATCGACTCTGGACCAGAGAAGCTATGCGATGCAAGAGAGAGCGGAGCCAAAGGGGCGACATAATGAAAACCCCTCTTGACTTCCTTCACGTGCAAGCACAAACCATGCTTTTTCTTAGGTTTTGGACAGATTTGGGCGTTTCAACCTTTTCGGTTCCCCGACGCCCCTAAACGGCTCAAGAGGCCTCCAAGATCGCCCCAAGAAGGCCCAAGAGGCCCTCAAAAGGGCCCCAAGACGGCCCAAGACGGCTCCAAGACGGCCCCAGAGGCCTCCAAGACGGCCCAAGAGGGCCCCAAGAACGCCCCCAACACGGTCCAAGAGAGGTCCGAAACGTCCGAAGATCGCTCCACGACGCCCAACATGGCCTCCAGACGGCCCAAGACGTCTCCAAGATGGCCCAAGAAGCCTCCAAGGTGCCCCAAGAGGCCTCCAAGAGAACTCCCAAGAGGGCCCCAAGAGGCAAACAACTGTGCTTTTCCTTTGGTTTTGGACAGATTTATCGACAACTACACAGCTCCCGACGCCGCAGCTCCACACTGCAAACGACCACTCGGACAGGCGACCACGGTGCGACATTATGGGCCGGCGGAATGAGCGAAGCGATTAAATTTACTGCTGGTCAGCACGACATCAGCATGGCGACTTACATTTTTTGGAACACACGCGGTGAACTGCATCGACTACATAGTGATCCAAAAGGAGTGCTCCTGCAATGAAATCAGCCAGGGACCACTACTGAGGATGGGCACGCGGCTTCAGCAGATACCGAATCGACATCACAGATACCATGTACCAGTACAGGCGACGATAAGAATGACGATCAAACAACGGAGGCGCAGAGTACGACAGAAACTGAGATGGGACGGGGACCTATTGGCGACAGCAGCGCGCAAGGGCGACAAGAGGGACGACTTCATGAACAACCTGGAAAACACAACTTGAGGACTATGACCCGATGCGCAAGGGAATCGACAAGCCCATCGAGGACCTGAAATAGATGATAATAAAGGTGGCACAACCACTATACGGCAGCCAATCCAGAACTGCACCAAAGTACGAAACACTACGACACAAACGGATGGTTTTTTGTTTGTCATTCTTATTGTGGAGGGCGAAGATGGGAGCGGACCGCATGCTTCAACAACCGCCGTCGCAACGCGAATGCCGGTTGCACTTGAAAGACATGTTCTTCCTCACCAAGGGTGAGAAAACGGACGCACACACAGTGCCGAAAGAGAGGAAGAGGAGGATAAGGAGGAGGAGGAGGAGGAGGAGGAGGAGGAGGAGGAAGAAGCCCGTAGCCATTTTGGCTCTTGCCGCTCAGCAGCGAGCAAAAGCCCCATTGTTCAAGCCGGCAAAGTGATGGTTCCCTCGGCCGGAGCAACTGGTGGCGTGTGTCGCGCTGATGATGGTGTACGGGAGAGCTCGGGTGATGCGAGCTCACTTCATCGAAATTCCTCCGACTGCAAGAGGCGTCGGGATTGGGCGAAACTCTCTGCCGATCGGGCCATCATTCGATTGACGGAAGAAGTGGGTCGTCTTCGTGGCCAGTACGAGCGTTTCCGGGAGGCGGTCGAGGCCCTTTTCGGTGACCCCGAGTTCTCCGACAGGGTGCTCGCCTTGGCCCCCGCCCTGCTGGACCTGCTCCATTCGAAGGAGAAATCGAAGCTCAGCGTGCTGCGTCGCAATGTTGCTTTGCACGCGGACGCGGCAGGGCGCACGGTGGCCGATGCCAGCGAGAGCGACCTAAAGTTCATGCAGAAGGGGTGCCGCCTGGAGTCGCGTGCCAGGACCAGCACTACTTCTTGCTTTTCGCCCTCCATGGTCTTCCCTGGCGTGTGGGAGCCATTCGTGGCGGACTGTGTGGAGACGTTCATGGGCGACCCCGAGCCCCAGGTGCACGACGCGGCGCTGGCAGGGCCCCCGAGGGGGATGTCTGCCCTTTGGTTTCCCACGGACGGGGTCCCTCCCCCCGCCATGGACGGCCCTGAGGAGGGGATCGCCGCGGTGGAGGATACCGACAAGGAGGACCAGTCTGTGGGCATCTCGGTTCTCAAGGCATCTGCTGAGGCTTTTGTCTCGTTGGAGGTGCTGCACGCTCAGACTGTGGGAGTCATCAACTCGAAGGATGTCAGCAAGCGGCCCTTTGTCAAGAGGCTGGCCAGGCTCAGGCGCGTTGCGGAGACAGCCGTTGAGCAGGGCGAGTCAGAGGTTGGGTCACTCTTGCGCGGGCTGGGTGAGGAAGTGGCAAAGGTCTCTGCTGGACCACTGGTCATGCCACCGCCCGACTCACGGCCAGCGGACTGCAATCAGAGTTGATGTTTCTTGCTCTTGCTTCGACTTGAGTATAGCTGGTGTATGGATCGAGGGGGGCAAGGTGAGGGGACACGTTTTGCTGAGAGTAATTCCTGCTGCTGCATGTTTCATTGTATGTGGCTGCCTCGTGTGCAGCTTCCTGGCGCAAATGCGAGTGGTGTATGGAATCGTACTGTCGTTCATCGTGCTCTCCGCGGTCGTGACCCTCGATTGCTTGGAGGCGGGCGTCTTCTGAGCAGTGTTGTCGTCGGCGCTCGTTGTCCATGGGATGACAGGGCGCCCGCCAGGTCTGTGAGGTCTGTGAGGAGGAGGAGGAGGAGGAAGCAAAGCCACAACCCCCCAGAGTGAAAATCTCGAGATTCGACTTCCCGCGAGCGCCCTTAAGCGCTCGACCGCGGTATGCGGGACACCTCTCGGAACCACGCCGAAGCCCTGGCCAAAATGGAACTGCAAAAAAGCACAACTGCGAGACACCCCCCAAGAAGCAAGACCCAAGAGGGGCGCGAGGGATGGGGAGGGGGGGGACAAGAGCAGGGAACGGGGACCGAAACAGGTGTTCCAAGCGGTGGTGCGCAGGAAAAGCCTCAGCCCCTGAGCGTGAATAGCCGCGAACCCACAAAGACAGGGAGAGGTTGCAAAAGAGCAAGGGGCCCATCAAATCCAGTGAAAATCGAAGCTGAGAGGCCATGGCGGACGGCGGCCCTCAGCGCCCGACCGGCGCAAGCGGGACCGCGCCAGTGCACTGAAAGAGGGGGAGAGGAAGGAGGGGGAGAGGGCAAGAGGAGGGAAATTGCGCCCGACTGCCACGAACAGGCGACACTGGAGGAACACAAACAGAGCTACAAACTACGGCCGGCCATGTCCGTCTGCTCCTCCAGCGCCGCAATGGACCTCAGGAGGTCGGCGAAGGCCGCTCCGTCCTGGAAGTGCGTCCTCGCCTTGAGCGCCTCGCACCGCTTGAGGGCCATCATGCCCTCCTCCTAGTGATACTTTGCTAGGGCCTGCGCCCGTGCCACGATGAGCTCCACGTCGATCTTCCCTATTATCCCGTGGACCGCGGCCAGCGCTTCCAGGTAAGCCGTGCTGCTGGCGCGAGTGGTGTCCATGGTGAGGAAGCCAAGGCCGCGGACGGTCGTTCGAGCGGATCTCGCTAATGTGCTGGAGGATCTCCCGTGCCTTCTGGCTCCTGTTCTGCGGGGTGTGTTTGAGCCCCAGCTGGCGCCTCCCGTCGAGGCTCTCCGTTCTGCCGTCCGGCGCGAACCCAGAAAGGTCCTGGAAGCCCCTGGGGTCCTTCCACCCAGGCAGCTCGTCGGCGAACTCCGGAGTGATGTGCCCCGCGGTCGCGAGCGGGATCACGCGGTCGTGCTTGGGCTCCGTTTCGCACCCGCTGTCGAAATTCTCCGTGCTGCCATCCGGTGCTAAACCAGCTTGGTCACCGAAGCCCATGGGGCCCTGACCGCTCAACTCGTTGTCGTGCGCTCGCGATGGGGCTCCGTGCGCCCAATCGCCAAAGGCGGAGCTAAGTGGACCCTCGTGGAGAGACATTGTGATCTGCTCGCCCTCGCTGATCAAGCTCGTCTCCTCGAGCTGCTCCTCTGTCGGCCCGCCCTTGTCGTTCGCGACGGGGATCCTCGCGCCCTGGCCGTCCCCATCGCGGCAACCGTCCAGCTGCAGCTTCTGCTCCTGAGCAAGCGTGAGGTCGCTGTGGACGTCGGGGGTTCCAGTGGTGGCCTGGTCGGTAGCGCTGCCGTCGGGGGGGCTAAACACCGCGTTGAAGGCCGCCCTCATCACCACCGCCTGCGCTAGGGAGTCCGCGTGGCCCAGCGGTTGCAGCTAGTCCTGCCACCGCGCCTCCGAAGCGTCGATCTCCTCGGTCTCAGCTTTCCACTCGCTGTCATCATCAAGCTCCACATCGGCATCAAGTCGGTAGTGAACCACCTCGGTGCCTTGAAGGACCTCGGGCTCGCTGTCGGGCTCGCTTGTCGAAGGCGTGGCCGTCGGGCTGAACGTCGCGAAGGCCTGCGCGGGCCGCGGCTAGACGGACGGAAACGCCTCCAGTTGCGCCTTGGTGGCCTCGGCGTCGACCTCCTCCGCCCAGCTGATCGGGACCTCGAGACCTGGCATCTGCGCCTGAACGCGGCGATCCACAGCCGTTCCCAGCCCGGCCCGTGCTGAGGCCGACCTAGGCCGCCATCGCGGAGCCCAGCCTCCTGCTGGGCGATGAGGGGAATGGTGAGGTGGGAAGAAGTCGACATGGCTTGGGCCAGAGCGGCTTGAGCCAAGGACACAAACGGATGGAGCCACTCCGAAAACGTCGACAGCTGCTGGAACAGCTACGACGAAAAGGGGGCAAACTACGCATCGAGATGCCAGAGACAAGTGCGGGAAGGGAATCATCCACTATGACCTGACGGAGGCAGACCAGCAGAACGCGACGGACAACGCGCAGAACCCGTGCGCAGAGGAATACCCTGTAGACCAGAACCTGAAGAACTTGGAGAACCAACTACGTAGGATAACGAAGGCGTGCGCGACCGTGAGGAAGGAGCACGCAGAGAAGACGGATGAAAGGGTGGCGGAACCATGCGAGGCATGGGGGTGCAGGGATCTTGCACGCGTGGGAAGACTCGCAAGACCTATCGCGGGAGACAGAAATGGACAACGAAAAAGCAGCTACTGGACGAGCATCACAATACAACCTGCACGGCAGGAATGGCTAGATTTTTGGAAGCTACCAGGCGGACAGGGCGGCATGGAAGGAACGGGGCGACAAGACATGGGGCTTACTTATATACCTGTCGGCGCGGAGCCAGTGGACTACGACGAGAACGAGCTGGAGGACATCATCGACCAGGATATGGAGCACATCAACTACAGCCTGAAGAAATCTCAATTATCCCAGTGCGACCCTACCTCGGAGTTGGAGCCTCTAGGAAAGCAACATTAGTAGGAACGGTAAACGCCGTCCTCCTCCAGCAGCAGCAGCAGCAATAGTGGATACGGTGCTGCGCTATGCTATGCTATGCTATGCTATGCTATGCTATGCTGCGCAATGCTATGCTGGGCTGGGCTAGGCTAGGCTATGCTATGCTGCGCTATGCTATGCTGCGCTATGCTATGTTATGCTTTTGCTTTGCCTTCGATGTTGCCTTTGCTTTTGCTTTTGCTTGGCACCCAGGGAGCGCAACTGGGGGAACCGCGCGTTTGCTTTTACCTTTGCTGTTGCTTTTGCTTGGCTCCCAGGGGGCGCAACTGGGGGAACCGCCCGGGGCGAGCCCCACTGCCCGGCCCCTTTAAGCAAACAGAGGAACCCTCTAGGCAGAGCCTAGCTAGGGAACTACGACGAGCGGCACCCACAAAGGCAGCACCATCGGAGCTATGGGGAGAGACTGCTGCTGTGCAAGTACGACAACACGATGCAACGACGGCAAGGACTGGGGGCACTAGCAGAACCGACGCAACCAACGCACTTCCATGAAGTATTCCGAGCAGCGTTGGCAGCAGTTCGGATGAGCAGCGCTACACCAGTGGCGCCAAAGCGAAGCAACGACAATCAATAATAACAAGTAACCAGGGCCATCATGAAAGAGGATCTATTTCATCATGGACCAGATAGGCCAGGCATACTATGCGGCGTGCATGCGAAGACAATGGAAGAGAGTACATACGGAACAGGACTACGGCTTCATCAGAAGGCAAAGGAGAGAAGGAGCTATACTAGCCATGGCGGTGGTCGAATACAGGGCACGAAAAGCGGGACACAACCTCATCGCGACCATGAAGGACATGTCGAACGCGTTCGCCAATGGCTCTTGGAGCACGATGGACGCGGCCAACAGCCAGACCATACCAGAAGACGCGTGGGACTTGGGAGAGCAGAAAGATCGACGGGCCACTTGTCGAAAACCGTACAGAGACAGCGATGAGGGGATATGCATCAAACCCCGCTGCGGCGGTCTCATAGGCGACCCGTACATGGTACGAAACTTCGTGGCGAGCTTCGCACCATTCACCCAACGCTGAGTCAAAGATTGCAGCGACAACCTGGCTTACGGCAAACTACTGTATGGACGCAGCGAACTACTCCAACAACCAGTGTGCATGGGGCTGGCAAAGTACGCGGACGACCTACGCAATACCATGCTGGGAGGTAAGGCGGCGAACGCGACACATATGGCAGAGCAAGCGAGAAGAGTCGACGAGAGAGTACCTCGACGATCGGTTACGAGAGATCGGCATGCGCCAGAATCAGGGCAAGCAAAAAATATCGTCTACTTCCAAGGTGCAGGCATCCGAAAGGCACATCACCAACTCAAGCACGACGGAGAACATCGGTTACCAAGACGAATGTTGCCGACGGCGAAATCCTTGGGACCACATATTCGCCCGACGCAGGGCTACGCAGCGGAGCTGGCACAACGGATCAGGGCCGTGAAGAAACGCTACTACGAATGCGGGGCCTTCTGGAGCAAGGCGAACGTACCGTACCGATGGGAACGAGCAGTACTGGTATGCAGAATGATCAACACGGGGCTGTCTTGCATCGAATGCTACCTGCCGACGCCCAGCGAGTACAACCAGCTACAGAGCACAATGGGAGCGCTGCTACGCAAGGCCATGAGAGGAGACGCCACAACGTGGAGAGAGGATTGCAACGTGCGGTCACTTAGCACGCTGGAGATCTTCCGCTACTGGCAAGTACTGCCACCAGCGGAGGAAGCACGGGTAAGACGACTAGGATGGTTCAAACATATTCTCATGTATCCGAACAATCGCAGACAACTCATAGTTGCCCTTGGAAGGCTCGGGTTCGATACGACGGAAGAGGATAAAGGAGGGGACGAACCCACCAGCCACACGAATCCATGGGCCGAGCGTTTTCTCGAAGACATCAGATACGCATGCAGGGTTTCGGAAAGCTTTCTCAATATTTTGGGAGACGCAGAGAAATCCGACTCGGTCGCCTATTCGCCTTAGAAGTTCGAGAACAGCTACATCTACTAGACGTTTGGGAGGCACGAGCAAATAGACTAACGGTAGCAGTCCCACCCCCGGAGTACTCGAGCGAACGGATGAACAGCAGAACTACTTAGCTCTATAAGAAAACATATAAGAAAACATATCCTGGAACTGCGAACTACGTGAACTACAAGACGGGGAGGGAGAGTGTGGACAATTGTTCGCAAGCAAGAATGCACTACACAGCCACATTACCAACACGCACCACATCCACAACCTCGCAGCCATCCTGACAAGCAATAACGAGTGCATCAATTGTAAGCAGATATTTGCGTGCCAGGGAACGGCGTGGAAACATCTAGCCAGGAGTATAGCGCGGGGAGGATACAACAGAGACAAAACCAATCACCACCATACAACAGTACCGCGTACGCCACATTGTCCGCTCTGTAGCCGTTATGTCATGGACAAGGATAATTGTTTTCGGCACCTATGTATACATCTCCTGAAACCGATATTGCAGCCAGCACGAGGCTCTCGACTAGAGACCGCGGGCGATGGCAAAACAACTCGCGGGTGGACCTCAAGGATGGACACCAGCGGACCAAGGCAACAACAACCAGCAGGAGATCGACACCAACAAAAGACACAGCCCGACGCAGGCGCGGGAACAAGCAGAACAGAGGGCAGCGGTACTACAGACATGGGAGGTCGTGAATTCAGAGAGTATCGCTACTACGGGGCTGGGGGCAGGACACAAGTACAACGAGGAAACACACGCACGGCACCAGCAAATGAAGCGCACAGAGGAGGTCGACACAGGCAGCCTGGGCACGCTGCACATCAGAGTCATGAAGGAGGTCTACGCGTACCTGGACAAGATACTGGAGAAAGGAGCGGCACGGAAAGAGAAGTACTAAGGAGAGGACATCGTGGACGCCGACAACGCCAACAACTACGAGCGGATCGCAGACACAGAGCTGGAGTACCGCGTCAGGCGCAACAAGAGCAAGGAAGCGAACGGCAATGAGAAGTGCAGGAACCAGTTCAAGATCGCAGGGGCTCACCACCAGCAGGGCGTCACCCTGGGTAGCAAGAACGAGGGAGCCGCGAGGAAGAGTGGCTCGGCACCGAGGAGGACGCAGGAGAGGGAGCTAGGGCGGACGTTGGTCTGAGCGGACCGAGTGCCAGCGCAGCAGGAAACAGCGAGCAGCGGGAGACAGTGAGAGGAGCAGTGGCATCGGTTGAGGCGCCAAGCGTAGATCGTGAGCGGCCTAGTTCAGCCTTGGACGGACATGCAGTTAGACTGAGCATAATGCGAGTAGTAAGCGTTCCGACGGTGGTGCCAAGAGTTTTCCAGAATAGCGCCAGATTTCGAGAATTAGCTCAGAATGGCAAGCTGCCTCAGAGGCTCAACACGGCCACGCCCGAGCTTTTCAGGTTTTAGGAGCTGTCTTTTCCCGAATACTTCGTGGTTCACCGTCCTCCCCCACCTCCCGAGGAGCCCCCTGAGGAAACCCGAAGGGGGCGAATCCAAGGTAAAGGTCGAGAGCAGCAGGCGAGTGAGCGTCTGTGAGGGCGGGTGCCGCCCCGCCCGCAAGCCCCCAGGTGGGGGAGAGACGGTGCGGGAAGGGCCCGATCGTCACTCGGTGACAGCTCCCCCAGTCGTGAAGTGAACACAGCTAGGCTGAGCTAGAGGAGAACGCCTCGAATTCACTTGCGTCACCCCCCCGAACTGGGCCCCAGAGCTTGATCGATCGATCCTCCTCCTCCTCCTCCTCCTCCTCCTCCTCCGCCTCCTCCAGCTCCTCCTCCTCCTCCTCCTCCTCCTCCTGTGAGGCCCTGTTCTCCCAGCGGCGCCCCCTTTGGGAGCCTGGCCTGCCAGAGCTGGCTCGCTTTTGTACCTGCGCCGCTCCTGGGCTCCTCGCGCCGCCCTGCCGAGAGGCTGGCGGCCGGAGCGGCATCGACGCCCAAGGCCATCTCCTGGACCCTCGCTCGTCAAGTAGGGGATCGACTACAGAATTGATTTGCCCCAGACTTGATTGTTCTTGTAGAGTCCACGGGCAATTCGCAGAACTTTCGCAGATCTACGAGTGGTCGACGTGCCTTTCTTGAAGGGTCGACGTGAAAATCGATTTTGGGGTACATCAATCTTGTAGTCGATCCCCCAGCCGAGCTCGGCGCGCCGATGCCGCCCCCGCTGCGACCCTGGCCATCGCACTGCGACCGAGCAGCTCCAAGCCTCACTCGAGGTGGCCAGATGCCAGGGGAGCAAAAAGTGGCGTAAACGTAAAAATTCGGAGGTCCGCGCGGATTTCTCGGATCGGCGCTGGACCCCCCTCCCTGGCGCGCGGAGCGCGCCAGGGGCGGCGCCGGAGGCGCCGCCGGGGGCCCCCAGCGCCGATCCGAGAAATCCGCGCGGACCTCCGAGTTTTTATATTTATGTTACTTTTTGTTCCCCTAGATGCGGACTCTACCACGGGCAGGGAGGGGGGTGTGCTCCCGCCCCCTGGCCCACACTCGAGCCCCCGCGCCCTCGCGGCGCGGGCCCGCTCCAGCACCGCCGCGAAGTGCGGGAAGCCGCCGCGGACCTCCTCCGCGAAGGCCTCGTCGCCCGCGGCCCTCGCCAGCGCGGCGGCCAGGCGAGCCACCCGCTCCCGGTCTCGCTTGTTGCCCGCAAAGCCTCGGAGGAGGAGGATCAAGTCGGGCCTGTCCCCCTACAGGGGGATTTTCGACGAAGAATAAAAGATACCCCCAAAATAATACAAAAATAGTCTGGGGACTGAGTATTTTTTGACCATTTTGGGGTACTGTTGGGGTATTTTTAACTTTTCGTCGAAAATTCTCCTGTAGGGGGACACGCCCGACTTAAGAGGAGGAGGTGCCGACACTGCTGCTCGCCCTGGAGAGCCCTCGTCGCCACGGCAGGCAGAAGCAAGAGCCCTGTACTGGATGCTGGCCGATTCCTACCGCTGGGTCTCTGCGCAGAGGAGGGCGGACAAATCGTGCCCCCTCCCCCTCTCGGAAACGGAGGACAGAAAAAACCGATTCTCCTCGAAGTTCTGGTCAGAACGCGCCCCTTGGGAGGTCCGGGGGGTGGCGCTGTCGGTATCTAGTGCTTGGACGCTTGAAATGGGTACCATGAGCGCAGTGCCCAACAACACATACTGTCCAAAACCGTTAGCGGCCGCTGTTGGGCAGGTGGCCTTCTGTCTCAAATGGGCAACGTCCGTGGCGACGCCGACAACGACTCACATTCAAAACGGACAAGAACTGCAGTTGGTCTTCGTACCCAGCGTTTCCGTACCCATTTCGATCGTAGCGATTGTTTGGCGGCGAGCCTGGGGGGAGTGAGAAGCGGCGGCGGGCCTTCTCAGAAGGCTCGGAAAGTTCCCCAGCCTTCTACTAAAAAAGGTTTTTCAAGCCTCCGAAGACGCAGAACACTTCTCAGAAGGCGCCCGGGGCTTCTGAGAAGCCCCGCCGCCTTATGAGAAGTCCTTCTCCTTCTCGCTTCCCCCCCACGCCGCCGCTGCTGCCGCTGCCGCCGCCGCCGACGACGACGACGACGACGATGACGACGACGACGACGTTGCCGACCGCCGCCGCCGCCGCCGATGACGACGACGACGCCGCCGCCGACGACGACGTTGCCGACCAGTCGACGCCGCATTGTGGCTTCCCCGGCAAAGCCGGCGGCGACGGTCCCATCCGGGAGGCTGCTCCACATGAGGAGCTCCTGCGCTGGGCGGCCGAGGCGTCCCTGCGCCCGCAGCAGCTCCCCCCGCTCCGCGGCCTCCTCGTGGTGGTCCCTGTACTGCTGCGAGTCTCCGAGCAGCTGGCCGATCCTCCTCGCCTCCTGCTCAGGGCCCACAAGCCCAGACCCCCTCGAGTCATGACAAAAGTCACGCCGGGAGGCTTTTTCTGTCCCTGGAGGCCCTTACCAGGACGCGGGACCATCAAAAATCGACTCAACACGAACAAATAATTCCGGGGAATGGGTCGAGACCTCTGGGGGTCGACGTCATGAAAAGTCATTACGTCGGGGGTCTGGGAACCGTGTGGTGACGGACCGCGTGGCGACCTCGGAATCCCCAAAGACGTCACCTGGAGGCCCCGGTCGCCCGAGACATCCTCGGAAAACGACCCGAGTCCCCAAACCGCGGGGTGACCCCGAAACCCCACTGGCTCACCACGCGGTGCCGAGAGATCCGATGTCGTGATTTTTTCAATGCGGGGTCCTCGGAAATCTCGACCCATTCCCCAGGACCGGTTTTTCGTCCTGAGTCGTTTTTTGACAGTCCTGGGGCCCGGCGAGGGCCCCTCGAGGCCGAAAAATACGAAAAACCTACGTCTTGATTCTTTCCATGCGTTGGATCTCTGGGTGCGGTCACCGCACCGTTTGGGGGCCCCCGATCCTGCATCAGCGCCGTGGGCACTGCCTCCGGCAGCACGCAGAGGGCCGCCCGACCCCCGCCGAGCCCGCACCAATACAGATCGCGCGGGCCCTCGGGGCCGACGGCGCCGCTGCAGGAGGCGCCCGCCGGGTGTCGCCCGCGCCCGGCCTCCTCCAGAGCCGAGGCTTGCGCGGAAGCGCCGCTCGGAGTGGGCCTGGCCCTCGCCCGGACGGCCCGCGGCTGCGGCTCGTCCTGCGCGGCCCGCTTGGGCGCGACCCGCTCGGGCGCGGCGGGCTCGGCAGGGGCCTCCTCGGTGGCCGCGGGTTCCGGCGAGCCGCGCCGGCCAGTTCGTCCTGGCCCTGGCCCCTCGCGCAGCGTCACAGCTGTGCCGCCGCGCCGCGGGCGCCCCCGCCTTCCCGAGCCGCCGGAGCTGCGGCTGCGGCTGCGGGGCCTGGTGCCGCTGGCGCCAGCGGCGCCCTCGGGGCCGCCGCGGGCCGCGGCCGTGCGCGCGCTGATCAGCCGCACCCCCTGCCGGCCGTCCCCGCGCCCCGGAGAGGACGCCCGCGGCGCGTGGCGCAGCCGCGCGCGGGGCGCCGTGGGCGGAGCCTTGCTCGTGGTCGCAGGTGCCGGAGCTCCAGCGCGGGCATCAGCCGCAGAGCCGACCACCGCTGCCGCGGCTGGCGCCGGCGGCGGGGGATCGCCGCGCGCCACCGCGGCGCCCTCCTGGTGGTCGTCGGCCACTGAGGCGGGCTCCGCACCCGGCACCAGTCGCGGCGGCGCTTCCTCCACGTCATCGTCTGGCCTGGCAGGTGCATCAAGCGCGTTGCGGCAGCCGGGGGAGTGCGTGCCCAGCGCACCCGTGGGCATGGCCTTTGGCTCCGGTGCCCCGTCCTGCGCGGAGGCGGGCGGCCTCATCGGACCAGCCAGCTCGGCCCCTGTTTTGGCTTCTGCTCCAGGCGGCAGGTCTGGGCCTAGCATAGGGGGTGCGGGGGGATGCGCCGACTGCGGAGGCACGGGCGGGCCAGGAAGCGTCGCTGGCGGAAGCAGCAGCCGGACCCGCGCGCAAGAGCACTGAGCGCACAGCTCGCTCTCGCCGCAGCGCCTCCAGACCACATCGTTGCACTTCGGGCACTCCCACTGGCCGTCCTCCTGATTGCAACGGCTAGATACTTCGTCGTCAGCCTCGTAGCACATGCCGAACACCTTGTGCGCTGCATTTCTCGAACACGGCCTCGAAACCTCCACCTGGCACCGGCCAGATACCTCGTCGTCCATCTCGTAACACCAGCCGGGCACCCTGTGCGCTGAGTTTCTCGCACATGGCCGCTCTACGACTGCCTGGCACTTCCCGAAAAGAGGCGTACCAAAGTTCTTGCATCTGCCGTGTACCCGCTTGTGCGAAGGATCCCGTAGACACGGAGCCAGCACCCATGCTCTGCAGGACGCGGAGAGCTCTTTCGCTGTCTGCCGACAGCTCCCCATGAGGACGACATTTTTCTCAGTGTGCATCTCGTCGTTCACACACCGCCTCTCGACGGGCGCCTCGCACTCCTCTGGGCACGCTCCGTCGTGGCAAGTGCTCTGGCACTCATGGCCGCAGACCAGCAGCCTCTTGCATGGTTCTTTGCACCGCTCAGAGACCTCCTCTGCGACCTCGCTGCACCTTCCAGCGAGCTTGTGTGCGCTGTTCCGCAGGCAGCTGAACTCTGCCCTCCCGCTGCACTTCTTGACCACCTGCTCCACTGTCAAACCGCAACGACGCTTCAAGCCGTGCCGCGGGTCCCGTGTGCACCTGATGCTCTCCTCAAAAGGGCAGGGTGAAGCAAACTTGGATTTACTCATGCAGCATGCGTACTTGAACTCATGACGCGGCTGAGCTGTGCACGCGTCGTGTGAGCCAGAGACGACGTGCCGGCAGTCGAGCGCCGAGTGGCCAAACTTCGGGATCTGCGGATGGCATGGACGCTCGCACAAGTGTCCTAGCGTCCCACAGCCCATGGGTGCCCCACAGAGCTCGCCGCAGAGCGACCGCTGGCCGTAGGGTATGTCAGCAGAGCTGCGGATTGATGGGCTCACGTCTGGGTGCCTGGGACATACCAGCGGTAAGGCTTCGCCATGACAGCCCCTGTTCTCCAGCATCTGCAAGAAGCCAGACCAGTGGTTCGTGCGCTGGGCCCGCAGGCAATCCGAATTCCCCACGAAGACCATGCAGCAGCGCGCGCGAGACTGTGCAACGCACAGGCGGTTTTTGCCGTCGCCAGTGCCAAGATAACCTACTTTGTTATCTTTGTTCGATCTAACTAGGCTCACCAACACAATATCGTTCTCATCGCCCTGGAAACGATCGATCGTCTGCGCTTGGATCGTTGACTCAACCTTTGCTTTTCGCGCCGCCGCTGGATCAGCCGAGCCAGCATCGAGCTGAATTGCCTCCTGCAGACCTGCCTCCTGCAAATATGCCGGCAGCTTCTTCGACAGAAGCTTCCGCACCAAAAGCGTTTGGCGCTGGTACGCGGTCAGGATGGTGATCTGGCACGGGCTGAAGCCTTGGCTGACAAAAAACAGCGCCAGACACGCCACCCGCTCTGCCTCCTCGGTGTTGACACGTGACGTGGAGCCCTCTTAGAGGCACGAACTGCGTAAACATCGGCCGACACCCGCTTGCCGGGGGTGAAAAGGCGTGTGAAACATTTGGCTGTCCTCCTCCCCCTTTCCCCCTCCCCTGGGTCCAAAACTTGCTTGATGGGGGGGGGGAGGCGAGCTCGTCAACGCACCCCTCAGGGCCTACGGAGCCTCCAGAAAGCCCCAAACGGGCTCCGACAGAGCGCCAAGACAGTCGAAGAGAGCGTCGAGACGGCCCAGAGTAGCCCCACCCCACAAGGCCCCCAAGACGGCTCAACGGTGTTCCAAGATGACCGCCGAGACGGCCCCAAGAGGCAAACATCGTCCCATTCCCGGAGGAAAGCGAACTTTTTTAGCACACTCGCCTTTTTCGTCTTGACAGCCTCTACGACTGACCAAGAGACCCCCAAGATTGTCACAAGACGGCCGATGAGGCTCCCAAGAGGGCCCCAAGATGGCACAAGAGGGCCCCGAGACGGCCCCAGGGGCCCCCCAGACGGCCCCAGAGAGCCCCAAGAGGGCCCCAAGAGAGCCCAAGAGGAGGAATACGAACTGATACTTGGAGCCTTTCCCCCCGAGATGGCCTCAAGAGCCCACCAGAGGCCCCCGAGGCGCCCCCAAGAGGCCTCCAAAACGCCCCCAAGAAGCCCGTGGGAGGCCCCGACGAGGCCCCCCAAAGCATCCCAAATACACCCAAGAGCCCTCCAAGAGGCCTCTGAGAGGCATCCCAAGAGACCCTCATATTCATCCGAGAGGCTCCTGACCCGCAGCCCAGGCATGGTGGCGGATTGGGCTGAAGGCCACTAGATCCGCCGCCCCCTGTTGATTCATCACAAGAGTGCCTGGCGTGCTGAACCCTTTCGATTTTGGTTTTGGTTCTTTTCCAAAAGAACTCTCCCCCTGGCGCTTCGGCCCGTCCCGCCGGCCACCCGAAAAGAATGCCCAGGATCTCATCCCCCCCTAAAAAATCTTTCAAGACGGCTCAAGATGGCCTCCAAGATGGCCTCCAAGATGGCCTCCCAATCCGCCCAAGATGGTCCCAGACGGCCTCCAAGACGGCCCAAGAGAGTCCAAGATACCTCCAAGGTCGGCCGAGAAGGCTCCAAGGCGGCCCAACACGACCCAAGAGGCCTCCAAGAGGTCCTCCAGGAGGGCCCGAAGAGGCCAAAATCATTGATTCTCGCTCGTTTTTTGAAGGGTTTTGGCATGTACTTCTTCTCGGCATTCCGACGGCTGAAGACGGCCCAAGAGGCCCCCAAGATCGCCCACGAGGACTCCAAGATGGCCCCATGACGGCCCAAGAAGCCCCCAAGATGGCCCCAAGAGGGCTCCAAGACGGGCCAATAGACCTCCAAGACGCCCAAGATGGCCTCCAAGACGCACAAGACGGCTTCCGACGGCGTCAGACGGGCCAGGAACGCCCTAAGACGGCCGAAAAGGCCCCCGAGAAGTCCCAAACAGGCCCCAAGAGGTCCTCAAGAGGCTACAAGAGAGCCCAAGACACCACCAACATGGCCTCCAAGACGGTCCCAAGATGGCCCAATCGAGCCCAAGAGTGCCTCAAGGGGCTCCGAAGAGGCATCCTCCCCCTTCTCCTTTTTCCTCCTTTTCCTCCTCTTCCTCTTCCTCCCCAACGTGTTCCCCGAAGGCTTTCCAAACCGACTCGGGGAACACATGGTCCGATAGCTTCGCCCCCCAAGATGCCTCCAAGACTGCCTAACATGGCGTCAATGTTGCCCAAGACGGCCCAAGAGGCCCTCAAGAGGCCTCCAAGACGGCCCTTCAAGAGGTCCTCCAGGAGGGCCCGAGGAGATCAACATCACTCCTTTTCCCTAAGTGTTTGAAGAATGTTGTCATTTGACGCGCCCACAGAGGCCCCAGCCCCAGCGTACAGAGGCACCAAGCGCGCCGAGGCCCCCGCGCGCTGCCCACTGAGGCCCTCCGGCACAGCCCACAGAGGCGCCAAGCGCGCCCACCGAGTCCACAGCCCACAAAGGCCCCAAGCGCGTCCACAGAGGCCCCAAGCGCGCCCGCAGAGGCCCCAGCGCGCTGCCCACTGAGGCCCCAGCCCACAGAGGCCCTAAGCCCCTAAGCGTGCCCACGGAAGCTCCAGCGCGCTGCCCACTCAGGCCCCCCGACAACGCCCACAGAGGCCCCACGCGCGCCCACCGAGGCCACGGCCCACAAAGGCCCAAGACCCCGCCCCAAGCGTGCCCACGGCCCCCTGTTCCACAGAGTCCCCACGCGCGCCCACAGAGGCCCCAGCCCACAGAGGCCCCGAGCGCGCCCACAGAGGCCCCCGCGCGCTGCCCACAGAGGTCCTCTGGCACAGCCCACAGATGCTCCAAGCGCGCCCACAGAGGCCCCAGTCCGCAGAGGCCTCAAGTGCGCCCACAGAGGCCCCAGCGCGCTGCCCACTGAGGCTCCCGACGCAGCCCACATGGCCCAGCGCGCTGCCCACTGAGGCCCACCAACACAAACCACGGAGGCCCCAAGCGCGCCCGCAGAGGCCCCAGCCCGCAGAGGCCCCGAGCGCGCCCACAGAGGGCCCAGCGCGCTGCCCACTAAGGCCCTCGCCGCCGCCCACAGAGGCCCCAAGCGCGCCCGCAGAGGCCCCAGCCCGCAGAGGCCCCGAGCGCGCGCTACCCATTGAGGCCCTCCGACGCAGCCCACAGAAGCCCCAGCCCACAGAGGCCCCAAGCGCGCCCACAGAGGCCCCGGCGCGCTGCCCACTGAGGCCCTCCGACGCAGCCCACAGAGGCCCCAAGCGCGCCCACAGAGGCCCCAGCCCACAGAGGCCCCGAGCGCGCCAGCAGAGGCTCCAGCACGCTACCCATTGAGGCCCTCCGACGCAGCCCACAGAAGCCCCAGCCCACAGAGGCCCCAAGCGCGCCCACAGAGGCCCCAGCCCACAGAGGTCCCGAGCGCGCCCACAGAGGCCCCCGCGCGCTGCCCACAGAGGTCCTCTGGCACAGCCCACAGAGGCCCCAAGCAGCCAAGCGCGCCCACAGAGGCCCCGACGCGCTGCCCACTGAGGCCCCCGACGCAGCCCACAGAGGCCCCAACCCACAGAGGCCCCAAGAGCGCCCGCAGAGGTTCCAGCGCGCTGCCCTTCGAGGCTCCCCAGCGCAACCCACAAAGGCCCCAAGCGCACCCGCAGAGGCCCCAGCCTGCAGAGGCCCCAGGAACGGCGCTCTCGCATGAGACTTCTTCGCAATTCAATGAAGTTCGTGGATGCCCAGCCGCGACGACAAGGCTCCCGCTCGATATTTCCTCGCGATTTACTCCAGAGAGGTTCCCGAACTCACGAACAGCGCTCTCGCTGGAGACTTCCTGGCAACTCAATCAAAATAGTGGGGGCGCAGCCGCGATGACAAGGGCTCCCGCTCGATGCTTCCTCGCGATTTGCTCCGAAAGGCCCTTTCTCGTGGTCCATTCTTCTCTTCCCCCATCCGCCCCCCCCTGTCCCAGATTTAGGGGCTGCGCTAAACGTACGTGGCACGTAAGGAAGACATACCCCCGAGGGGGTATGGTCGAAGACAAAGAGGGCGAGTATCGAGGGTTTGGGATATACGCGTGCGTGGCACGCGATCGAATAAGAACAAACAGTCTTAATCTTATGATTGTTTTTCATGTTATATTTTTCTCTCCCCAGGAAAAGAAGACATGGGGAGCGCGCGATCACTTAATCACATTACGGCGTGAGTGGCGCAGTAGCGCGAAGCAGAAGACCGCCAGGGAAACTGGGATCCCTACGCGAGCCGACCTGCCATAGGAAAGCTCTTTCGATAATCTACGGCCTGGAGGAAAAGGAACGACGATCGTGGCAAGCTCTGACGATCGTCCAAGAGCGTCGCAAGATCTGACTTTTTCTCGGGGTCGGCGGAATGGCGTAAGCCACTTGAGGAAACTTTCGACGGTCCGCGCGGATTGCTTGGATCTGCGCTGGACCCCCCCCCCTGGCGCGCGGAGCGCGCTGCGAGAGGCGTTGGAGTCGCCGCGCGGACCGCCGAGAGCATATGTTTAGTCAGTTATTCCTTCTTCGACCTCGGACTCCATCTCCTCCGCCGCGCAGGCCCAGAAGAAGCATCGGTGCCGGATGCACTCGGGCTGGGCCCGGAGCGCCACCACGCTCGTGTTGTCCAGCAGCTGGGGGTACGTGGGCTGCAGCAGCGCCGAGATGTCGGGGTGCATGCGGCTCTGACGCCGCAGGGAGACATGCGGGAGGTTGTTCCGAACGAGGCGCTCCAGCATCGAGACATCGAACCCGTTATGCTTCTTAAGCGGGTACTCCTTGACCTGAGGTGGCAGCTGCTCGTGGTCGCCGATCATGATCAGGTGGCTCACCGACGGCGAGAGCGCTGCCAACAGCTGGGACTCCAAGACCTCAGCCGCCTCCTCGACCAACACGACGTCAGGGCGCCACTCGCGAACAAGGGCCGCGTGAATGCATGCGCCGGTGATAGTCATACCCAGAATGCGATTGCGCCTGAGAATCATGGCATCGATGCCCTCATCCGTAACCTTCTCCTCCCTGGAGAGATTTTCAAAGTGGGCCAGCGCATCTCCGAGCTTCGCAGAGGCGTCGTCGACGACCTCCTGCAAATGCGCCTGTGCCATGAGCACCCGGTCCACCGGGTCCAAGGACCATATATCTTCGCATGATCTGATTCGCTGCAGCCGTTGTGGATTCATCTTTCGCAACACCCCTTCCTTATGCTCTGGTGCGGTCCAATCTCGGCGCGGCTGTTGAAACGGAATGAACTTTTTCATGGCGCGTTTGAAGAAATCACTGTCGCGCCCCTGGGTCACTAAACGCTCCTCGTTGTCCTGCTGTACCTCCGCATCATCCTCCGAGTCCCCACCCTCCTTTGAGGTCTCTTTGGGCGCAGGAGGGGCCGTGGCGCGGGTGGCACATCCCTGGCTCAAAGGCACCACGTCCCGCCACAGCAGCTTCAAGCCCGTCAAGCCCTCAGAGACTATGCTGGCCTTCAGCCAGCTTTTCACAGCGACCGTCAGGTCCCTGACTAGCCTTTCCATCATGAGTACGTGGTCCTCCGGGCACTGTTCGTACAACACCCATTGCTCCAAACAATTCCGTACTTCATCCATGCCGCACTGTTGGAAGACATTTCCGCGAAACCAGCCTGCGTCCGCCCGAGACTGCGGGTTCTTCTGCAGCAGATGCCAGATCTGGTTGTCGCTGAGCGACAGAATTCGCTGGCCCAGCGGGCCAAGGTTGTGCTAGAATCTCCGGCCTGGGCAAGCGTGTATGGAGGCCTAAGGGGGGGAAATGCCTGGACGCTCCTCCTGTTCTCCTCCTCGTACAGTGGCGGCCAATCCACAAGAAATCTTCCGCAAGAAACCCAACCCTGGAACCACAGGACGTCCATTGGTATTTCGTCTGGGAACGTCGCCCTGTCCATCGCAAAACCATAGAATTCCAAGAAATTTAGGGCACCCTGGAGGCAAGCAGGGTGTCTCTTGGCATGGGCCTCCAGTGCACTCTCCTCCGCCCCGTTCCAGGAGTGCAGTTCTGGCAACACGGAGGGCGGTATCCCATATGAGTGTTGCAACTGGCTGATCAGGTACTCCAGATTTCGTAATAAAGGGAGGGGGGTCTCATTTCGGGGGGGGGTCTCTTCCAAGCTATCTTGGAGGGCCTGGGGGGGTCTGGGGACGATGTTTTGGAGGGTTCTCCCACGGGGGGGGGTCTGAAATGGCTTGTCTTGGAGGGTCCAGACCCCCTCCCTTTTATTACGAGATCTGGAGTACAGTCCCAGGAGTGGAGCTGTGGTAACGCGAACAACTTATGGCTGAGGGCTGCGTCCTGATGATCAGAATCCAGCCCGGAAATGGAATTTTGTCAACCCGAAGAGGAGGCTGGCTGTGAGGGCTGCACTTGATTGATCAGACCTGGGAGAGAGAAGTCTGGCAGCACTGGGAGTCCAATCTCACCTCCCAGCCGTGCCTCAACGGTAAGCAAACAGTAGAACCATCCAGGACGAGCCTAGCTGGGGACAGATGATGGAGACTTTCTCGCCGTTTCGCTTTCGATGGGTTTCAGAGGCCTCAAGATGACTCCAAGGTCGCCGAAGCTAGCTCCAAGATGATCTCAGAAAGGCCCGAAGTGGGTTCCGAATATCCTGCCAGCGCTGCATGAACACTCCAACAGGGCCCCAAGATGGTCGCAAGAGCTCCCAAGATCTGCCCACGAGCGGGGATCAATACAGTCAGCGTGCTGACATAAGGGACGCGAAATACAGAACAGAGGCGCTCTCCTGACCGCGGCGGGCATCGGCCACGAATAGGTTCCCCGACATGGCGGAACGGCTCGGAAAACGGAGCCCCGGCCGAGCCCAGAGTGGCCCTTCCTGCTAGCGCCTTGACTGGAGGTGCCAGGCCCCAGAATGTCACCCGCACGGCTCCAAGACGGCCACAAGAGAGCCCAACGAGGGCCCCAGAATAGCCCCCAACAGACAGGTGCGAGTCGTTTCCTCGGCCCTGTGTGCGGCGGGGGGGCCCTCTCCCAGGAAGGGAGGAGGAGGAGGAGGAGGAGGAGGAGGAGAAGGAGGAGGAGGAGGAGGAGGAGGAGGAGGAGGGGGCGGGCACAGAGCTGGATCGAGACGAACGCAGCCGAGGTGCGCGTCGGCACGCGCGCTCCTGGCAGCCAGCAGGAGATGGGCCCCGGGGCGCTGCCGAAAAGCCACCGGCGGGGTGCGGCCCCGAGCACGAGCGGGGGACGAATGCATCGCACTGCCGCTCCCCACTGATCCTCCTCCTCCTCCTCCTCCTCCCTCCTCCTCCCTCCTCCTCCCTCCTCCTCCCTCCTCCTCCTCCTCCTCCTCCTTCTCCTCCTCTTCCCTCCTCCCCCTCCTCGTCCTCCTCGTCCTCCTCCTCCTCCTCCTCCTCCTCCCCCTCCCGATTACGGGGTGTGCTCGGGCCCAGGCAGCCTTCTTACAGTACTGGTGGAAGGCACCCCCCTCCCCCGATCCGGGGCGGAGCGGCGCGGGTGGGCAGTGGGCCGCCTCCAGTTACTGCTGTAGACTGTAGTTTGAAGGAACTTGCCTGGAGCACTCGCGTCGTCCTGACGCCCAACGCGCGAGGGAACGGGCCCGCCAACCGCCCCCCCCAATTCCGTCCCGGGGAATCTGGGAAATCTGGAAAATCCGCCGACGGTTTTTAAACGGGCGCCCTAGCGTTGGACATTCTCAGAAAGCCGGCCCCCCGACCCTTCCCAAGGAGGCTCTTCTCAGAGGCCCCTTTGGGTCCGTTTCCGGGAAATGCGGGAAATCTGATGAGTTCCAAGCTGGCGCCCTCGCGTGGGACATCCTCAGACAACTGGCTCCCCGAGCTTCCCCAAGGAGGCCCTCAGAGACCCCCTTGTTATGTTTCTGAAAAATCTGGGGATTTCGGCGACGAATTCCAAACTGGCGCCCTCGCGTGGGACACCCTCAGAAAACTGGCCCCCCCGAGCGTCCCCAAGGAGACCCTCAGACGGGCGTGTCCCAGTCCGGGGCTCTTGCTCGAGACATCCTCCCAGAGTCGACCACAGGCGCGCGAGAAAGTCGGGCCCCACAGCGCCCCCAGGGTGCACGGTTTCCTCCGGGGCTGTAGGCGACCCGAGGAGGATAAGGAGGAGGAGGAGGTGGAGGAGGAGGAGGAGGCGGAGGACGAGGAGGAGGAGGAGTAGGAGGAGGATGAGGAGGAGGAGTATTACCAGGACCATCGCATTTCTCTGGGACCCGAGCTGGCGCACCGCTGCCATCAGCAGCGACGTCCTCTAGGGGTACTGAGGCGCACTGTTTTCCCCAGGAAGCAAGTCAATTTAAGGGCCAAGTTAATTTATGTTACTTCTTTGTGCACGTCGCACCTTCTGTTTAATGCCCTCACTTGGCACAAGTTAAACGTCAAACAGATGGCGACCCTGGCGCACAACTGTTTGAGCCCGTTTAGATTGGCGGCCGGTCTTGGGTACGATTCTAGTTCTGGTAAGGCTGCTGCAGACCATAGAGTTTTTGTCAAGTGTGAGATCATGCCCGTCGAGCTGGTGTTGAGGCTCAGGCGGCTGCGATTTCTTCCCAGGCTTCTCAAATCGGCGCCTGCTTGTCTGCTGGCGATCCTGGACGAGCTAGCCTCAGTGCCAGAATCATGGTCCGCATTGTGTTGCGATGACCTGTTGTGGCTCAGCAGACATGTGAATCTAGCCAGGGAATTCTTACCGTCAGGGCCCCCTGCTTGGTGGTTGTGGCTCCTGAGGTCTAGCAGCAACAAGTTTTGGAAGCGAATCTGCAAGCAAGCAGAATCGGCTGCCAGGGCCAAATTTTTGGACGATCGGCGTCATGAAGAATTCAAGGACGGGTGGCGAAAGTGTTGCATCGCCAAGGGTCTTGCGCTCCCGTCGTTTTTGCGTCCGCCGTCGGTTCTCGCCTTGTATCCTTGCTTGGACTGTGGGGCGGTGTTGGCCACCAAGGGCGCATGGGCCTCCCATCGCTCGAAGTGCCACCCCCACAGTGACCCCGCCCCCAGCTACGTTTCAGGCACGGTGTGCATGGCATGCGGTCTCAACTTCCATACGCATCTAAGATTGCTCAAACACGTTCGGCATGGCTCATCGAAGTGCTTGGCGGACCTTATGGCCGTCATCACACCGCTGAGCCCCGAACAGGTGATGGCGGCTAAGGCGGAGGACGCGGAGCTAGCACGCACGCTCCGAGAGAAAGGCCACTACGCGGAGTCAGCGCAACTCCCGCCTGTCCTCACGACTGGACCTAGGTTGAGGGTAGCGGCTGCCTCCAAGGGCCTCCCCACTTGCATGCCGAGAATTTCTTGCCAACCAGTGTGTATCCAGGAAGAGATGCCCACTCAGGCAGAGGTCCACCTGCCTGCAGCCCCTGGTACTAAGTACATTGTGATCCTCCGTGCAGCTCCCAGGAGTCAAGGTGACATCCAGGACAGAGCGGAGAAGTCCAGTGCCATAGCGGGCATGAATGGTTTTGTTTTGTCTCTTAATATTCTCGAGTTTTTTTTTGCATAATTCCATTGAGGGATTTCATAGGGAGCTATTGTTCATTACTGATCTTATTCTAGCTGGGTGTGTTATTGGTCTCGTGACGGATTTTCTCCTTTCCTCGTGGGACCCCGCCCCCCGCTGCAAAGCCAAGGGTGGTGAATGCACGCCTTTAAGGAGCTGCGATGAGCCATGGGGAATTTCAGCCAGGTCGCCCTCGGAGTGGAAGCAGCTGGAGCTCGACAGTGCGTGCTTGAGGCCGGCAGTGACGCTGGCGCTGTGTGCGGCGTCCTCGGGCCTGGCGACTCTGCTCATTTTAAACCCACCTGCTCCGCAAGCCAACCTGCCCTGCATTTGGAAGGTCCCCGAGGTCAGGTTCCTGTGCTCCCTGCAAGCTACGTCTCCGACCACCACGTCGAGATGTGTGCCCATTGGGGACCGTCAGTGCCTGTGCATGAATGCCGAGCCGATCCTGGCCCCTCCTGACAGCAACCAGGTGGAATTCTACGTTGCTGCTGTTATCACGCAGGCAGCCTCACAACGCTGTGCCCCCACGCCTCCTGGGGATGCATGGCTGGAGGCGTCAGTTGCCCATCTATATGCCCCGCTCGATTTGTATTGAGAGTCGGGTTGATGTTGGCCATTGCTGCTCTCCTCGTCCCCCGCTATACTTGCCGCCTATCTCACCGCTGACGTATGCATGTGTGGACACCTCAGACATTGGTCCCTCAGGGCTGGGAAGAAAAGAAAGAAGAAGGAGGAGAAGTAGGAGGAGGAGGATGAGGAGGTGGAGGTGGAGGAGGAGGGGGAGGAGATGGAGGAGATGGAGGAGGAGGAGGGAGGCGGAGGAGGAGGAGGAGGAGGAGGAGGGGGGAGGAGGAGGAGGAGGAGGAGGAGGAGGAGGAGGAGGAGGAGGAGGAGGAGGAGGAGGAGGGGAGGAGGAGGAGGAGAAGGATGAGGAGGAGGAGGAGGAGGAGGAGGAGGAGGAGGAGGAGGGAGGAGGACGGGTCGCCTAAGCCCTTCGGAAAACCCTCCACTCCAGGGACCATGGGGATCTGCCAGCGCGCGCCAGGGCGCACCTGGCGTGTCCCAGTCGAGGGCTGTCTCTCGAGGCCGGCGCGCGAGAAAGTCAGGCCCCACCGCGCCCCACTGGACCATTTCCAATGATCTGCCGGCGCGCGCCAGGGCGCGCCGGGGCTAAAAGCTGGCC